AGGGATAGGCTTGGGTCTCCGTGTTGGTCAGATCAGACTGAGCTGTGTCAGCAGAGTACAGAGTGACCTTTTCCCCAATCACGTTCTCCATCACCTTGCTGTTAATAGCATCAACGTTGACGTTCTTTGAACAGAGAATAGCTCTTTCCTTGAAGAAATCACTATTTTGCAGAGGACACTGCAGAACATGCTGAGGATAGATATCTTCAATGAACTGATCAAGATCAGTCATCTGCCTCAAAAAAGAGGGCAAAGCAATGCTGCCAATCATGGATGGTTCATACGACATTTTTCCTATCCAATCTGCAAATTGCCTATCTGTGTCATTGGAGTTGGCAAGTCTCATATTCTCAGTCAGGCTCAGCTTTTGTAATTTGGGCCATAATCTTGACGATTTCAGTGAGGCATTGACGATTTCAGGACGGCCACCTTGCCTAACAACAGGTGGAATTTGAGCAAAATCACCGCCAAGAACAACAGGAATACCACCAAAGGTAACTTCATCACCACGACTACAAATATCACGAAGTGTTCGATCAAAAGCTTCAAAGCAATATCGATGCTGCATTGGCACTTCATCCCAAATTATCAATGATGTCTCTCGAATGAGATCAGCAAGATCATCGTTTTTCTTGATTGCACACACAGACTGCTCGTGGATGTTGAGTGGAATGGCAAAGCGAGAGTGCGACGTACGCCCACCAGGAAGTAGCAAAGCAGCAATGCCAGAGGAGGCAACACAGAGAACAATTTTTCCTTGGCTTCTATAAAAGTGACAAAGAGTATTGTAAATGAAGGTTTTGCCAGTGCCAGCTGGACCTTGCAAAAAGAAATGTGAGCTATTGGTGTTGCTGTTGATGGAGGAGGTGATGGTATCAAATACGTGCTTCTGGGTAGCGTTCATTTGAGCGTACTTTTGCTGGTACGAAAAGGCTTCTTGATCTTGGAGATATGACATTTCATTGAGTATCAATGAATTGCGCTGTATGCCAGTCATTCTGCTTATCAAGCCATTCCAGTTGAAGAGAGGCAAAGGCAAATTGAACTGACCTAGAGATCTGTCTTGTGCACCAAGAGATGTTTGCAACAGATATAAGCCGTAATCAAGACTTCGCGTTCCATGGTAAAATTCAGCGTCAGGTTGCACGCTGAGCAGCAGCGAATACCCTTTTTGCACGATTGCATGCTCAAGATCATCACAGAAACTTTCACAGAATTGATCCCAAATCTGAACAGGCGATACCAATGAGTTGAACATGAGCGCAGAGACAAACATTGAACGCATTGCGTAGCCAGAGGCAAAGGTAGCAGCTTCTTCAAAGGCTCTGGTCCATTCTCCATCATCTTCGATCAAATGCAGCATCATACAGGCCTCGCGAAAGGTGGCGTACTCGTGATTATTGACAGTTCTCAGATGAGAAAACGACATGGCTCCTCTGACAACTGTGAGCAGCAGACGCAGATAATACCTCTCACCGGCAGCAGGATTGCAGTAATACATGCGCCCAATTGACATTCTACTCGAAGACCTAGGCTTCCACTTTTTTGCATTCTGCTGCCAAGTCATATGTTCAGGGAACTCTTGATAAAGCAACGGTCGAAAACCGGGTTTGCCGTGATTTGCATGGTTGTAATGAAAGTAAGCCATCAAAGTAGAGCGACTCTCTCTCAATACTTTGTCAATTTTCTCCTGTGGCCATTGGGGATCAAAATAAACAGGTTGCTCGTTTTCAAGATGCACAGCAAGTGGAGTAACAGATGGGCTTTCCTCATGCATTGGGAATTCAAACAACCTCCATGCAGCTTCAACAGGACTAATATAACGGCCATTTAGATACTTGGCCACTTCGTTATTCTGAGTTGTTGCTGTGGTAGTGGCATTTGCTGTTTCAGTGGCTGTGGTGGTGGTTGTAGTTTTGAGCGTTGTCTGATCAGAGCCTTTGTAAATATACTTGTTGATGTACTTAATTGCCTGGACGCTACCACATACTTCGACATTTACATGGGCATTGTATTTTTTTGACAAATAAGGGTTGTATGGCACCACCCACTCATTCGTCATGTGGAAATCGCGGTAGACACCCAACTTGTCCTTGACGCGCACCTGATGAGAACGACCATCTCTTCTTCTTCTATAAGTAGGATAACCATCAGCACTGGTCACCGTTACTGTCTGGTAGTTTTTGGGAAATTTTTTTGAGCATACATCATTGCCAAAAGCATCTTGTACCATACACGGAGACTTTGAGTTTAGCTCGCCACATGGGCCATGCATCATATTGCGAGTGATGATTGCATGCAATTCAGGTTCTTCTTCAACATTTGGGATCTCAGCGCAAATGATCTGATCAATCCTCTCTGGCGTATCAAATCTATCTGTTTCTGCATCCAAAAACAATAGCATATGACCGTGAGGGAGACCACGCTTTTGATACTCAATAGTCCTTACAATGCCTTTATAACAGCCAAAGACCTTTCTGTCTTTCAAGTCTTTAAGCAGCTCTCGGTGCTTAAGGTTGAATACTCGAGCAACCAAGTCGGGGCGATCAGCGGCTGTTTGGCCTGGCAACAATTCATCTTGGATCTCCCTCCAGTTTGGGTTGGCAGTAAATGTGATGAATAACGTTGGCTTACCAAAGAATCTAGAGATAGCCATTGCATTTTGATATAGCTGCATCATGAATCGCGGTCCACCAGTGAAGCTACTGGGCAAGATGAACGTCTTTCCCACCTGTTCGAGGTCTGAGTCAGCAGCAGAGGTAGCATCAGCAAGTCCTTTATACACATCAGCGCGAAGATTCGTCTGATTGACTTTGATCCAGTTCAGTTTTGTTTGCTCACAGATTGCCCAGGCATCAATCACATATTGTTGAAATAGACGTCTTGACAAAAAAATGATCTTTGACTCGTTGTTTCTAACATGCAATCGAAATCTGTAGAACACGCCCTGGGTAAGTCGGCTATCTGACACTTGTTGTTGTTGTTGTTGCTCTGCTGGTGTCTCATCTTCTTCGCTCTCAATAATCATGGCATCAGCAGTTTGCGCTGACGATTGCAGTCTTTGGCCCCAATTCCACCCATATTCACCTCTAGGAAAAAGCAAAGCATAATGAAGAGGCATATATGCAGCATGCGTCTCATTGATACGCTTAAACTGGCCTTGAGCCCTGGCCGAGGAATTGCTACGATATGTGATCAAAATATCTCTGAAACTCCTGTCAGAACACTCGTTTGGAATGATGGCAGCAATCTCGTTGACAGTTGGCAGATTTTGAGTGCGTCTGTCCTGGCCAACAACCAATTCCATTTGCATCTGAGGACTGAGCCTGATGTGAGCATTCTCGCTAACACCATCTTGAGCTTGCCTCTCCTCTTCTTCTTTCAGGATTTCGTGAGCATGTTTGTAGATGCTTACAAATGGATTGCCACAAACTACAGGATCAGCAATCATTTCACTCAGTTGCTCAATGATCGTGTCGTCCAATCCTTGATTTCTGGGGTCTGCACAGCGAATCGCAGCGGCATACTCTGGGTCGTAAACGTACAGCTGGCTATACTTTGGCACATTGCTCAAATTTAGTGGTGCTTGCAAGTGATAGAGTTCCCCATGAACACGAACCGGCGTGATGCCGCCTCTCATCTCATTCTCTCTATCCCTTTGGAGCTGCTCAGGCGTAGCATCGGTGCCAAATGATGTAAATGCGAACAAAGTGTTGTATTGTCGCATGTGCTGCAAAAAATGAGAGGATCGAGGATGGCTTCCGTTGATCAAGCTATTTAAAGGCTCGGGAGGCTCTTGCAAAAGGGGCAAGACAGCTCTACCTTTTTTGCAGCAAGCATGAAAGCAGTTGTCGTTTACTCGCTGTTGAACAGCCCTCTCTGCGGCCCAATGCAAAGCTCCACATCCATCACATTGGTTGTCCATTCTGCCCAAATCTGAACGTTGTACTCTTCCAAGTTCTGATACAAACGCTGCAGGTGCTCTTGGTGTTCTTCGATTCGCCAATCTTCTTTGCCTGGCGTAATTTCGCGCTCGTTCCTGAATTTGAGTACAAACAAAATAAACCATTGCGTCTCAGGGTTTTATTAGGCGTTAAAAGCCATTTTACTTACTCGACATGAATCACATTTCCGATAAGCATAGTCTACTGGAAGAGCAGCTCTACAGGTCGTGCAGTGTCTTGTTTGAATAGTAGGAGGCATATTATTACGTACGTATAATAACAAAAAGCAATGTATCAAATTTTTTTTTTGGTGCCTTATATTCTTGGTGGAGGGGCTAAGCCCCCTCCCCCAAACCCCCTCCCCATTGCCGGCTTCGCCGGTGGTTATGCCCTCGTTTGTTCTGGCTTTTAATACTATTAAATTTTAAAAGGATATGATTGGCTTGTCTACTTTTTTTGAATGTTTTACAGTATATATATTAGATTAGATACTTCCACTCCACAGCAGAATTGGTGATCTGATGAGCACACATGTTGCGGGATCCACTGACATCAAATCATAGAAGCATTCAAATGGCCGATATATAGTACGAATGAGCTATTTTTAATGTTTGCTATAGCAATGTAAATCAAGACGAATAAAATGCCTTGTTGTTTCAGCCTTAATACCAAACTATAATGAGTCCTTTGTACCACTTTTTTTTCGTCTCTCAAGTGGCTTTCAATCAGAAAGGGATTCAGCAGCTCTCGATAGGGCTCATGTCATCATAAACGACATCCAGACACTGGTTTACTTTGACAATTTTCTGATTCCATGTGTGTAACGATTACTAGCGTCCATCTGTGATGTGCTTTCAAAGCTCTCTCCAGTCTCTGATCCGATACAATAGCTGTTGTCTATACAATCTGATTATCAGCTCTGCTTTAGATCATGATCCACTGGAGTGATTTTGACACAAAAATGATGGGCAAGATCTCATGTTACTCCGAGCAAACGTCGGCTTACAAATACAGCGACAAACACAGAATAAGCTTTCATCTCATTTCTTCTCTACCATGAGCATTCATATTCTAGGAACAGGAGCTATTGGATGCCACATTGCATCCGTCTTAAAGTCCAATAAACTACCAGTAACACTCCTGCTTCGTTCTCGCAACCACCTAAATGACTTTAGCAGCCGTCAAAACACCATCACCTATCGTTCTCAAGGACACACCAACAAGATATCCGGTTTTGAAGCAAGTGTTGTGGGAGACGCAACTGACCAAACACCCATCCAGTCACTCATTGTAGCCACCAAGGGTCACCACACTCTCAAGGCGCTTGCTCCCATGGCCTCTCGATTGTCTGCCCAGAGCACCATTTTGCTGCTTCAGAATGGAATGGGTGTTGCAGAAGAATTGGTGGAAAACTTGTGGCCAAATAGTACCCCACCTGCTATTTTTATTGGCGTGAATCGTCATGCAGTTGAGCGTATGGGCCCTTATGATATCACACATCATTCTGGTTATGCTGACCCAGACGCTTTGCGGATTGGAAGGTTCCCTCATGCAAATGCAGCTGAAGATACACCACAGTCAGAACTTGTATCCCAACTCGTTGCCATCCCAGAACTGAATGCAGCTCAGTTGCCTTGGCATCAGGTGCTAGTCAAGATGTACAAAAAGTTGGTTGTCAATGCCTGTATCAACGCAGTGGCATCTGTGCTCATGTACAAGAACATTGGCAACATCAAGAACGGCAATCCCAGTGGTATTGCCCTGATGAGGTCCATCTGCCAGGAAGCGCATGATGTCTTTAAAGAGGACTTGCCTGGTGAAACAGTGGATTCGTTGATGAACATGGTGCTGGCCATCAACCAAGAAGCAGGAGAGAATGTGTGTTCGACCCTGCAAGATATCCGATCCAAGAACCTCACAGAGATTGATTATTTGAACGGCTACATATGCAAGAAGGGCAAAGAACGAGGCATTGATGTGCGTTATAACCAAGCCATGGTGTACATTATCCACGCAAAAGAAGCACTGTATGAATAGAACAAAATAGCTCATTTCAAGATGCAGGGTCATTAATAAAATGAGTCATTTAAGAAAATGTGATATTACACTACAAACTCATGAGAAAAACCTTATGAATACCAGAGTGGATCCAATTAGGGTGAGTGTGTCAAGTTGTTATAGAGTCATTTGCCAGGTCGTACACTGCCATACACCATGTGGTTATTCTATATCGATCATTCCTCACTGGGTATTCAAGGGGTCAACGCAGAGTGAGATCCAACAGCAGCAGGCAAGATGGATGAACCGGCTATGCGTTCCGTTTTATATGTGTTTATGCAGTTAATACCACAATCATCTCATCATCATCAGCTGCAATGCTTCATTTATCCAGACCTTGCTAGTTAAAACAACTATAAAAGGAAGATTTTTCTAGTATTTAACAGGATCCATTTTTTTTTTTTTTTGATTCATCATCTTTCATCTCTCTCTCTTTCACTCTTCTTTTTATACAAAATGCGAAAGGAACCACCTGCTGCCATTTCTACCGAGATACCCTCTGAAAGCACATGCTTATTACCTGTGGACAGCAACAACACAACATTGGAGCTAAGGGAATCAACAAACAACCGAGGTACACGTTTGTTGTGCGGAATAAACATGTAAACATTGTGCATTAATGCAACGATACTGTAGGCATGGCAGTTACTGTGTACCGCAAATGCATCGCCTCCAAGCTCTTCAGTCTCTTGCCTTCGCTTGCTCTGGGATCAGCCATTTGGTTTGGAGTGACTCCATCAGACGAACTCACACTGACATCCATTCGGTTGCTTGCTGTGTTTACAAGGTGTGTTCTTTGCAATTCATGTGGATAGGCCATGTCGTCTTATATCCAACCCATCTATTAGCTGTATTTTTGCACTCATCACTACGTCAGTTGATATATCAGTGCTGGTGTTGACCGCCCTGACACTGCTGTCCAGCACGCATTCATTTGTATGTGAAGATCATGTTACAGGCATGAGCACGGAATGCCGTCTCTGCGGAGAGATCAATCCCATTACAGAGGTGCCTTTTGAATGCAACGGTGGCAAAGAGGCCTTTCACCATTCGTTAGAGGGGTTCTCTAGCTCTGTTGTATGGTTGATTTTTGCTGCTTTCCATCTGGGAAAAGCTGTTGAAGTGACACAGCTTGGAAAGAGGATATCCTTATTCATGATCCGCTCATTCGGCAAGCATGTCATAGGTCTAGCATATGCCATTTTGCTATCAGGTACCACCTTGTAAACAAGTAGTGCGGGAGAAATGACTAATGAAATGTAAAATTTAGAGTTATTACTGGCTCCGGTTGTGCCTAGCAATACAGCGAGAGGTGGTGGTATAGTATTACCCGTAGTACATTCCATTGCCACCACTTTAGGTTCAACACCATCTCAGAACCCCAAGGTAGGTGGATTTCTGATGCTGGTTGGAGCCCACGCCAATTTATTGTCTGCCTCCATGTATTTGACAGGTAATTTTCAGAGGGTCCCATCCGTGAGATGAATGACTGATGAATTCTAGATAGGCATGGCTCCCAATCCCATCGTCTTGGTCAAAGCAAATACACTCTACCCTGATTTGCAGTTTAATTTCATGACCTGGATTGCAGGAAGCTCTGTTCCTGCATTAGTCTGTGCTGCTATTTTGCCCCTCCTGTTGGCCTGGTCATGTGGTATTTTTAAATCAAAGGGGGAATCTGCTCGTGTGGAAGAAGGTCAGCAACTGAAGGCGGATGGAGAAGACATTGTTCAGCACGCTTCTAAAGAATTGCATGCCATGGGCTCCATGTCAAGCAAAGAACTAGTGAGTATCGTGACTGAGCTGATAAATGCGCCTTCTAACAAGTGTTCTTAGCAACTCTGCTTTGTTCTCTTTGCGTGTCTTGTGATGTGGGTAACATCCGGCTACACTAAAATAGACTCAACCTTGGTTGCTTTAATCGGCATTGTAGCCTTGCTACATATGGGCACCATTCATTGGAAAGATGTGGCCAACAATACCAATGCCGTAAGTTGTGTATATCCCAACCAGATTCATTGTGAAATAACTCTCTCTCTCTCTCTCTCTCTCTCTCTCTCTCTCTCTCTCTCTCTCTCTCTCTCTTATAGTGGGAAACATTGTTTTGGCTAGGTGGGTTTGTTACCATTGCCACTCAACTCTCTGAAGCAGGCGCATCTGGCTATATTGGTCATAAAGTATCTTTGGCTATCACACATCTCAGATTGCCTGCAGTGCCGGCCTTGGCTATCGCTTATTTTCTGACTACATTCATGTTCTCCTCTCTGAGCGCTCATACTGTGGCATTTGTAGCTACTTTTTTGGATGCGGGACATTCATTAGGCGCCAACCCAATGATACTGACTTGCTTGCTTGCTTATTTTGGTGCTCTTGGTGGTTGTATGGTATGTTGTTGATGTGTGTTCAGTGCGCATTTGAACGCTTACTAACGTATATTTGCATAGACAAACTTTTCTACGGGAAGCTTGGCCATGTATTATGCTCCAGGTTATGTCTCTCGTTCAAAATGGTTCACCATTGGAGGCCAAATAGCGCTATTCTACCTTGTCATCTACTTTACTGTGGGCATGGGATGGTGGAAAATTCTCGGCTGGTGTTGATCAGATTACCACTGGCCTTTGCATATATTTATAGACACCATATACACATCCTATACCGAAATTGATATTCGAAATCGCACTCTCTATATCTCATTTACCCCCCCAATAAAACAAGCAGATCAAACCATACAATTATTGATTTATTACTACTTTATATTTATACACCTTGAGCAATGCGAGGCCATGTTTCACGAATCTACAAACAGCAAGTCAGCTTCCATCTACAAGTATATTGATGTCAAATTACCTTTTCGTACAACTCTGGTTGTGATCTACAATAAAACACTTGAGTACTCGGTAGCTCAAGGCACTATAAAACAAACTTACCTTCTCAGAGCTTCCGGATCTTCAGCAAGACAAACAAAGGTGGTTGCTACACCACTCGAAATCACAGTTGCAATAGTGGAGAACATGGAGGCGCCAACCAAGAAGCATATCATAATGACGACAGGCGTCATACCACCATCACGATTGTACGGAGGGTTTGATACGATGAGGTAGATATAGCCCAACAGACTACAGAGCACACCCACCAACAAACCGCCCATAAACAATACATTACCAATCAAGTTGTCATTGATCATGGCTTCAATGCCACGGTCTTTGATCATGGTCCAAGTCTGTCTCGCAGTGGGCACAAATGCTTTGCCGTAGATGGCCACCCCGCTGAATGCATAGTAATTAAACCATTCCTAATGCCATGTACACATCAACAACACACATTCATCAAGTAGACAGCGTGGATACTTACAAACAAACCAGCTGCACAATTCACGATACACTGGATAATGCAAATGAAGAATGCCATGCACGCATTGTCTGTATTAGCCCTTGCGATGGACAAAAAGTACCGGACCAAGTTGATGATGGCAATGAGGAGAGCACCAAAGCAAATAGAGCCGAAGCTGGTGGTCAATGCACGCTTAGCACTTCCCCAAACAGGATGACGGACACCATCGTTTAAAAAGTACACTGTAGCAAAGATACCTGCTATTGTAACATGGGTGACATAGGTGATCACTTGGGATGTCCAGTAAAAGCTAAACACCAGAAATACCATGGCGCAATTCAGCTGGGAATTGTTGCTGGCTGAGCTGTACCAAGCTTGATAGATGCCAATGGTGGTGAACATGAACAGGAAACTGAAAGCTGTCTGAATGATGAGCGAGATGATGCCAATGATGATAGTGGAAGGGTGGCTTTTGGTGATTTTAGTGATTGTCTGTAGCATGACTGGATGCTTTCGATTAGTATTTCGCTTCTCTGTTGAATAACCCCTCACATCACTTACCCGTAGCAAACGGAATTCTGCTCCTCCACCAAAAGAAACAGGCCACATACAGACATGAAAAGATCAAGAACACGATGGCGGCAGAGTAGTAGTGCTCGACAAAGTAGTAGATGGTGACGCCAAAGTACACAATGATAGATCCAATAAATGTCGCAACGATCAATGGCTTGGGGAACAAGTTGGCCAAGATCAAATACAGGAAACTGATGCCAAACCCTATAATGGCCGAGAAGCCATATATCATCAAGGTGGACGTGTCGAATGTTAAGCCTGGATAGGCATTTTCGGATTGCACGCCATTGTAGGATCCTTTGTGATTTGTATATGTACTCAATGCAATGACAGCCAAAGCAATGAAAGCACCCAAATTACATAGCCAGAGTATGATTGCCCAGACATCGTTCCAACCCTTGGAAGGCTTTATCTTTTCGCCTTCAGTGTATGGCTGTTGCTGCTGGTCGAGAGGTGGAGGAGGAACGCCGTAATTGGGTGGTTGTTGGCTGTAAGATTGCTGCTGTTGGCCATATTCGATATGCGCTTGATCGCCATATGTGTTGTTATTATTAAATGTAGGTGGAGGAGGGTAATACTTGTGCTGATCGTTGGGCGGGCCAGACGATTGAGAAGTAGGTTGGTACATTGTATACAGAAAGAGATAAAAAGAAAAAGAAAAAAAAAAAAAAAAAAAGGAATAAATAAAATGAAATTCATGCATTTTTTATGATGTTTCAAAATAGGAAATACAGAGACATTCCCCCCCCCAGCAAATTAAAATAATCCATCGAAAAGGTCACTGACAAATTCAAACTGCTGTTGTTCATGTGTTTGCTGTGGTTGTGGTTGAGGTTGGGGCTGGAGTTGCTCTTGCGTTTGCGGCTGGAATGGATCCACAAACGGTGCAGAGAGCAGATCTGAATTGGATAAAATCTGGTTGATATCTTGCGTCCAAGGTTCTTGTCCCGTCAGCCATGGAGTCATGATAAAATTGGAGGTAGAAGGCGGTGCTGGTGGTTGTGTCGTGTCAGCAGGAAAAACATTGGCTGTGGGTGGCAAGAATGATGTAATAAGATCCGTGCTGTCATCATTTAGATCCACATTATCAAATGAGGGTGCATCATTCTCATGCGTGCTGACACTGCTATTGGACGATAACGATGGCTCCTCTCTCCCTGTCGCCGTCTTGTCTTTCTCTGGTAACACTGGATTGGCATCCAAAAAGTTGTGGATCACTGTTCTCAGCAGTTCACAGGTACCCCAATCTCCCCAGATAATAGGTATATTCAAAATCGCCTCGGCCTTTTCAATGTGCTGTCGTAGTTGATCTGACGCTTCCAGTCGATAGGCATACATCAAGACCTGAGCCGCTGAATCCACAGCAGAGATGATAATACCGCGAGGCAAGAAATCCGTCTGGTCATAGTAGTTGACTGGGTTGATGAGGTGAGTGTAGGTGCGAGCCAGCAGTTGAATGGATTCGGGTATCGCTTTGTGGACTCGCAAAACGTTATCCACATTGGTCAAATCCAGTTCTGTCGGTGTGTGCTGTTGATACAGGCTGAAGGGATGATTCCTGCCGTCTGGATTCCTCACTGAATCTCGAATGAAATACATGTTGATTCTATAAAATAAATAAAAGAGGTCTAGGGTATAAGCTTGCAAAGGTGACCAATCTTTTCTGCAGGCGTCATTGAACTGCTGGAATTCGTCCAGTACTTGAGAGATTCTCTCTTCAACGTTGGGCTGCAACTTGGGGTACGGCTTGAACAGCTCTGGTCTGAAGCGACTCAGCACTTGCCACGGTGCTTTGGGCAGTGTTGGATCAGATGAATGTGGCAGCTGCAAAATGAGCTTACAGCTGACTCGGGCTATGACTGATTTGATGTAGAATGTTTCCAGCAGATAAAAGTACCATTTAAATAGGCGTGGGTTGTTGTTTTCTACGTCGTACTGGTATGATTTGGACAGTTTGATGTTGGGCGGCGGATAAGGGTGCTCATGATAGGCCAATGCAGCTCTTGGAATTTGCTCCACTAGCGGTAGGTTAGTACTGGCTGCAAATGCACACTAGCCTCACGCAACTTACGCTCTACGCATCCTCTGATAGTAGTTTCAAATGCTGCCCAGAACGTGTTCAGCAGTAGCTCCTTCTCCACGTCGCTCAGACCAGCAGGCATTGAATTATCAAACAAGCCTAATCGAGCAGCCAGCATGTACGACAGGCCGAATAGCGACATGCCTCTTTTTGGGAACCCAAACGTGACCTCGAACAAAGCCAACAACACAATTGCTTGATATTTACTGGGCGTGGTTTCTGCAGATGCCTTGGATAAAAGAACATGAGCATAGTCCAAGAAGGGATTTCGTTTCTTCTTGTTCAGTGCATCCCACAATTCCAGCGGTTTGCCGTCCAGTAACTGAGATTTGAAGATGGTGGTACCATACACAACAGTGAGTAGCAGTGGATCAGCTGTGTCGGTCCAGTAAGCTTGCAAAAGCATCGTCTTGTTGAGCAAGTTGGAAAAGGGATGTATGCAAAAGAAGCACTCGATGAGCCGTACTGCTTGCTGTGGTGGCAATGAGTTTAATGGATTGATCGTCAGGGAAACACTGGACGGTGACTCAAAGAAGCTGGTTGTACGGTCGTAAGCCAAGGCTGTTCGAGAGAACTCCAAATCAGTGTAGTATGTCAGCTTGAGTTTGGACACTCGTTTCATCAGAATGCTAGCCATGTCAGCACTCATCCAAGTAAAGTAATCGGTTAAATCAAAGATCTTGACCTTGGTGTTGACACTGGCATAATCAGGATGGAGAACTACTGCATTCTCGCTGCGCCGTTCTTCAATGAACTGATCCAGTGTGGTGTTCTTTGCGAAATAGGTGGAAAACAGTGTGTTGATGTAGAAATCCAACCCTTGCTCTGTATTGTCATGCAAGTATCGTACTGGTGCCAGTACAGGCGTCATGGTTACATTCTCAAAGATGAATTCTCGGCAAAATGTCTTGGAATTGGGTCCCTCTTTGTTGTCATGGATGTTGGATGCTATTCGAGACAAAACGAGCTTATTTACAACTGCATTTTTAGGTGGTCTTCCTACTGCGCCGGGTTTCTGATAGATACATGCCGTTTGTCGAGCTTCACATCGAGTGCATGGCTTTTCTCCATCACATTTCACTTTTTTAATTCGACAAGGCAAACAACTGACTTTTCGTTTGGCCATGTTTTCTTCTGTATAGAAAGATTAAGAGCGAGAGAAAGAGTGAGAAAGAGAGAGAAAGAGAAATCCGCTACTTTTTTATTTTCAAATACACCAGATCGCAACTGAATTTATCCAATCATGTAAATTCGCAACTATTTCATGCAATGAGTGGATGCTCTAAAACGTTTAAAATCATTCTAGATGAGCCTCATACAAGTCCATTCATGGGTTCAACGGTATACATTCAGGGCCTGAAGAAGAGATGGCTTGATATATACTAGACATGCTAGGCACATCCGGTGAGGTTAGCGGCTTCCTAATTATCCGGATGTTGTAGATGCCATTGTGCTCTTGGGAACTGATTAGCACTTGTTTTTTTTGCTTGTCATGTATCAGTGCAATGCGCTAGTGCTAGTTTCGTTTTAAAGTTTGGTCAATTCATAAAGATTATAAAGCCAAGCTTTCGCTGTCATGGCTCCCAATGTGAGGTATAGTCTATTACACAAGATTACCATAAGTGAACAGCTTGCATGTAGTAAGGCATCATATTATCCAATGGGCACGCTAGTTCAGCTCGAGACCTCACCTCATCTACTTGATATTGCAGATTAGAAAATAGCGTTTCAGCCAGACACATCTGCAATAACAAGCTTTCATGATGCATCTTAATATGACAACTGGAAAGATACCCAGTATTGCTTGCCAACTATCTGTTTGCTGCTTGATAGCATCTTCATTGTTGAATCCTTATCAAGTTTGGTCGAATAATAACGTTACCTAAAGCAGCTTTATTACAGTATCCATTCAGCTCAAATCGATAGCAATGATATGCCATTTTATATCAAATGGGAGCCAATAAAACATCTTGATTCATTATGCAGTAGGGCTCTATGTCTAGTTCATATTATTTTGTGGATGTGATTTGATGCAAATCACATAATGTTTAAAGGTTTTCATTACGTGCTCCGCGTAAACTATAGGAGCAGGACTATAATCAAGCGGTGGGCGCATTTTTCTATGATATACATGTTTAGACAAATGTACGAGAACGATTTGTAATGTATATTTTCACATACCTTCATATCAGGTTTTTTGTCACGGTGCAGCCACCTGCAACACCAAAAGCTGATTACATCTCCGACATACAATCAGTTCATGATTGAGCAGATTTGATTTTTTTCGACTTGAATTTAACTATTTTGCAAAATTCAACTATATAAAATGTGATGATCTGCCCGTACTTCCTAATGCATTTCTGGAGTACTTTTCAATGCGCATCTGATGGTGCCAATTAAAATAGATGTTTAAAAAAAACTTGTAGAGGAATATTTGAAAATACGAAATGAGGTTTTTGGCGAAAATGTCGAGTTTTTACATATAAAAGTGACACAAATAAAGTTTCAGGGGTTGTCTTGGATCGAGAGAAACCTTTTGAATTAATATACGGGGCGTTACGCCGTTCCTGGCATCCGTCATTTGACATGTTGCGTCGCCCAGCCCATCCTCCTGGCTATCGCCCACCACATCTCCTGCTTCCTCCTCACCTCTGGCGTGATTTCTGGTCTCTCTGTCTCCCGCCCAAGGCATTTACACCGTGGTGGCGTTTGCTGCATGGACATCTCTCGGTGCAGGTTCGCCTGCACTCCATGAACCGTGTGAAGTATCCTTCCCCACTGTGTAAGATGTGTCATGAAGCAACTGAAGATGAATACCATATGGTCATTGGCTGCAGTATGAAGTCCCTCTTCTGGTATGAGTTTGTCTCTCACCTTGGTCTTGCTGATCTGTTCCCTACGGACGAGGCCATCTGGATTGGGTTGACCACCCTTCACGGCCAGGACAACAATCCTCTGGACATTTCCATCTTGGAACTTCTCGGCGCTGCCTTCTCATCTATCTGGCAACATCATTGGGGCTGCACAATTGATGGTAAATCTTGGATCACTCGGGCTGTTTTCTCCTCTTTTCTGGAAGATCATTCCAAGTTAATTTCTTCTTTCTTAGACATGTAAGACCCTTATGGCACCTTACTGTCTATAATATAAATAAAAAACACATTTAAATACAAAAAAAAAAAAAACTTTTGAATTAATATATACCTTAGTAAAAAGTCTTCATTTTGGAGGTCAAAAACGCGATCGTTTGATTTTCGATGAAAAGCATGAGGTACCCCCCCCCCCTCATGGTTTGAAGTCGATTTTTGGTCATGTTTTTTTTTGGGTCCTCAAAAAGCTGAGCAAAGGTATCTGTAAGTAGCTGCTAGTCTAGAGCAATTGTTTGGTGCCATTCTGGAAGTCTAGAACGGCTTCTAACAAGAGAAATTAGCGCTTGAATGTATCCAAATTTTGCTATATATTGCATAGTTTTCAGTAATTAAAAGTAATGTGAGTATATTAGCTGCCCATATATGAACTAATCACACCAATGCAAGTCTGGGGCGTCGTCAAAGAGTAAGATCAACAGTCGCAAGTTATCAGTGGAGCCTTCTTGCATGGGTATAGCAAAGTCAAAAAGCGAGTATATTTGTAGGATTATCATGCCAGCACAGTGGTTTTATCCAATGATCAGTGCAGTATTTGCAGAACTTTATCGTTGCTCAATCAAGCGTCATTTGGCTCATAAGGTGAACTAGATGTTACTCTATTAGACTTCGTTTCCTTTCTGCTAAACGGATTCCAGCGTTTTCTGTTTCATTTGGTTGCGGTTCATGTGTATATTAAGCAGCATTCTAAACATGTGTCGATTGTATGCATATGCTGTTTCTGCATAAGACTATTAATGCTATTACCCATCTTTTGAGATCATGATCCTACCTTGCCTTGACATTGAATGCTACACACAACATCCCTAACCTGGAGCAAATCTGCCCCGCACAAAACGGATAGCTCTGTATCACCATGCTCGTTTGGCCTTTGCCAAGTTCATTTCTCACGGAATGGTTGGGCTTCTTATAGCAAATACCCATTAATAGAGACGAAACACACATTAATGCATCTCGCTCTCAGGGATTCCACGCTAATGTATTGATTGGTCAGTTCAATTTGCTTGAATTCATTCAATAGCCACTGCCAATAGCAAATATGCCAAATTCGGTATTCACATTGTGAAAAATACATGTGAGAATCTTTTTTTTTTCTGCTGTATTCACCTTTATAACTTTAAGCAACTTTTTTCTTTACGTCTTTTCTCTTTTTTTTTTTCACTAATCTATCGATTTCATCCATTGTATTACACACACCATGTCTACATTAACCTCTAGAGATCATCTTGTTCAGCGCCATCCCACCGCCGTCAATAAAACCAGCCCTGAATACAAAAACAATGTCGAGGAATGGCAGGGTTTGATTGATGATTTGAAAGAGAGACTCAAGGAAGCCACAGGAGAAGGCAAGCCCAAGAGTATTGCATTGCATAGAAAGCGTGGTCAATTATCTGGTATGCTCAAGTGGTGATGATGGGACGCAAATGCTTGAGCTAATATACCCCACACTTTTTGTATAGCTCGTGAGCGTGTGGAATTAGTGCTCGATGAAGATTCCCCATTCTTGGAACTATGTGCGCTTGCCGGCTATGATCAGGATGACATGACACTTGGTAGATTCATTTATCTCTCACAACGAAAGTGTGGAATCAAATTACTAATATCATTTTTGCTTAAAAAGGTGGTTCTCTTGTGTCGGGCATTGGTCTTGTCAGGTACAGATGTGTATGATCTATATGCACTGCACATACATTAACCCTTATTCATGCAGTGGTGTCATGTGCGTTGTCTCTGCAAATGTCGCTACCATGGCAGGCGGTGCCATGAATGAGACTTCGGCTCTCAAAGGTGGCCGTCTTCACCAAATTGCAATCCAAAACAAGCTGCCTACTGTGACATTTGTGCAATCTGTAAGAGAGATTCCAAAGCTAAAAACTTTGGATCGATCATTGACATCTATTTAACTTTAGGCTGGTGCCAACTTGCAACAACAATTCCGTGTATTCCACAGAGGCGGTGCTGGTTTTCGTAATCAAGCCATTCAGTAAATAGGACACTTGCGCTCAATCATACCATGCAAAAAAAAAACTGACGCCCGTCTATAGATCCAAGGCAGGTGTTCCTTCTTGTTGTGTTGTATTCGGTAGTTCTACTGCTGGTGGTGCTTACACTCCTGGTATGAGTGATTATGTCATTATGGTCAAGGTATGTACCATATCACTTTGATTTCTGGCTCATTTTATTCACTCCATGTTTTGCTCCTAGAAACAAGCTCAAGTTTTCTTGGGCGGCCCTCCTTTAGTTCAAATGGCTACAGGTGAAATCACTGATTCTGAAAGTCTTGGTGGTGCTGACATGCACTCCCGTGTTTCCGGTGTCAGCGATCAATTGGCAAACGATGAATTTGATGGTATTCGAAAGGCCCGTGAATGGGTTGCCAACTTGAATTGGGAACAAAAGGGCAACTTACCCATAAGACATTTGAGGTGCGAATATGAGGAGCCTTACTACCCTGCTGGTAACACTATTCACTGCCTAGACACATGGCATGCCCGCTAACGGCTTGAGTTTAGATGAATTGCTCGGCATCGTGTCTGCCAACATTCGTATTCCTTTCGATGCTACTGAAGTCATTATTCGTCTTGTCGATGGCTCTCGATTCACACCCTTCAAGCCAAACTATGGTGGCAATTTAGTGTGTGGTTGGGCATTTATTCAAGGTATTCCTGTCGGTATTCTTGCAAACAATAATGTTATCTTCACGCAAGAAGCCAATAAGGCCACACAGTTTATTCAGCTTTGTAACATGAAGTAATACTGCATTATCATGCGTTCCTTGCTTGTTAGTAACATATGTTGATCATTAGAAACACTCCCTTGATTTACTTGCAAAACATCACTGGTTTCATGGTTGGCAAGAGATACGAAGAAGAGGGTATCATCAAAGCTGGCTCGCGCTTCATCAACGCTGTTAGTAACTCTGCTGTCCCTGCTATTACAATTATGATGGGTGCCAGTTATGGTGCTGGTAACTATGCCATGTGCGGCCGTGCTTATGAGCCAAGGTAAGTCTGCTATGCTTCTTGCTATCCGCCCTTGGCAACTCAACTCTTGCATGTCTAGATTCTTGTTCTCATGGCCCAACTCTAAATGCTCTGTCATGGGTGCAGAGCAGTTGACTGGTGTTCTTGATCTTGTCATGCGTCAAGGTGCTGCTAGGTAACGTCCCGTAGCGATTGCTTTGAATGTAGTTTGCTTAACTCATCCTTTTTTTTTTTTGCAAATAGAATGGGTCAAAAGATTGACGAAGAGTTGGCTAATGATAGAAAAGCAATGTTTCAAGCATCTGTCGAAGCTGAATCCGATGTGTACTATACGTCCTCTCGCTTGTTGGACGATGGTATTATTGATCCTAGAGATACACGTACTGTCCTTGGCTTCTGCCTTTCTGCCATCTACAATCATAAGGTGGAAGGTGGCAACTTGTACGGTGTTAGTCGCATGTAATAGTATTGAAATGTCTTCAGTTGTCACTGCTTGTGCAAATAAACGGTTGATTATAATTTGATTTGCATTTGAGTTTATTATGAGAATGCTTGGAAGCATAATGTGATGATCACTATTACTGTTTGACGAATAATCATGTAAATCAAGCATTCAATGTAGAGTCTCTTATCGCCATGCACTCTGAACGAGTAAGCTGTAGTTGCTCAAAATTATTGCGCCGGTGTTGATATCTTCCACTGATTGAATTGTTGTAATGATAACGTTGTTCCAAGACTTCTTCAGAGACAGTATCAAACCAGACGCTATTTCTTCTAAGAGGGAGCCTCTGCCGACTTGCCATTCCTGATTTTGAGTCGTTTTTTGCCATTTGGTTCTTCTGTCTTACCATGAGAGCAAATTGTGCTCTTGATTGCCTTTTCTGAGATGCGTTTGTGAGATCCACGTTTCTACCAGCAATGATTGCTTCCCAAATTTTGTTGGGAACATGTTGATCCAGCTGTGTAGATGCTATTTCAAAGCTTTCAAGACGTTTGCATGCTGTAATTATCTGGGTCATATATGGACTGATGTCCTCTTCTTCCTGTGGTTCGGATGTTACACGTAGTGCAAGCTTTTGTAAGTTCAATGCTTGAGCGGAAATTGCCAAAAGTGTACGATAGCCGACGCATTTGATAGATAGTTGCTGTAGCTGTGCGCCATAGTGTGCTATTGTATCACATAAAATGGGTTCGTCTACTTGTGGCAATGCGATAGTCAGATGAGTAATGTTTGGGCAGTGGTGTGTGACCAAATTCACCATGAGTCCGTTTACTGATTCGTACTTGTTTCGATTCGATCCAAGCTCAAGGTTTGTTATCTGTGGAAATAAGCAAGGCGCAATTGCTCTCTTAGTGAAATCAGTCCAGATGTAGGATAGGCTGTAAATGGCTGGCAAGGGGTTGCTCGCTGATGGTGCGTCGTTGGAGGCAAACCTGTGCTGGATCAATGGCCTAGACAAGATATGGCAATATTTAAATTCAATGTGCTTTAAACTTGGTAGTGAAGCAACTACGTTGAGGATGGTTTCTGTAGAGAGGGCATGGAAGTCAGTAAACGACAAGGTTTCCACTCGAGACAAAGTGCTTAGGATCTGCGTCAAGTCGTCTACCCTCCAGCAATTCTTGTTTTGCCGAGATCTCAACTCGAGGTGCTTTGTATAGCTACCAATCGTGTTTCTTAGAAAGAGATTTGTTTTGACACCATGTCGCAGCTGGCGAACGTAAACATGGTATCCAAGCTCCAAATAACTATAGAGGGAGGGCAGAGTCATCAGGTACATATAGTTGCAAGTGCACACGAGCTGATACATGTCATGCCGAGACAGCAGCTTAATGATTTGGCCCAAAATTTCCTTTGGGACAATTGTCAGCATTTGAGAAAGAAGAGTGATTTCCATAATGATTTGTGCCAACTTTTTTTTTATAAATGTACAAATCCGCATTGTGTACTACAAATAGTACATATGCTTATTAACCTTTTAAAAGCAGCAATCATTTAATAGTGATAATAGGTCATAACATACAAGTACAAACAAGTCGGCAAGGATCTCTGGTATACATTATCGAAAGCTGATGTAATCCCCGTCTGGATGATTGTTGAGGTCTCCCCCACCTATTTTGATTGTTGTCTTATTGCATGCGATGTCTGAATCGATTCTTATTCCTCTTGCTACGCGGCTTGTTGACACTGAGAGGCACCTCCACTGCAGTATTTGAGAATCGAGAATTCGATCCAAGCTCTGACCTACTATTGCACATTTCAACAAATGTCATGTCAGTTTCCTCGAGTAGATTGGCTGCACGCTGGAATTCAGCTAGTATTCTATTGAGTTCTAATTCACTACATGAGCTTCTATTGTTGGGAAGAAAGAGTTAGATAAACAAGCCGTCGCCACTTAGGCAACACCTACGCAACATTCTTGCTGAGGACGAATGGATCCTGTATCACCATGCTCTTCCTGAACCACTTGTTTGGCACATTTGGAATGTCCATGTCAGAGTAACAGATCGACATGTGTCTTGTGAGGTTTTCAATGTTGGATGCCCACTTGAAAAACTCCAGCATAATCTTGCCGAGGTTGTCGAGACAATAGCCATCCCATTGAGTTATAGTAGCAGCCTGTCGTCCTTGTTCCTTCTTGGTTTGGTATTTGGAATCAGAAATAACCTCTACGCAAATCGTGATAGCGCACCTGCTGCCCGTCCACAGAGTAGTTTGTTGCACCAAACTTACAGCCATATCCAGAACATTCAGCATCGCAGTTGCATTTGAAGTCTTGTAAGTTGGAGACAATAGGAGAGTCGTGGTTGTAGTTCATTAGGAAGTAGATACCTAGCAGACAGTACGCATAACTTGACAGGGTGTCTCTTCGATCTGTCGCAAACAAATCAATATTCATCTTGACAAATAAAGGCTAAACGTAGCTTACTGTCATTGATATCTCTCTTCTTTACGAAACACTTGAGGGCATACAAAAAAGGGCCTACACGTGCGTCCAGCTTCCTGTATGCGTCAATCAGCTGGCTGTTCTCCACACCCAGAGAACTGGAAGCGTTAATGTCACATTGCAGTCCTGTTTCAGAGTCGGTGAATTTACAGATTGGCACTGTTGCACCCTGAATCGCTTGCACATTCACCAGGCCTATTTCTCGTAGTTTCGTGGCCAAGTAGTGCATGTTGAAGAATGAGGTTGGCATGCCTTTGAGCTCTTTCAATGTCTCGTTGCTAGCATTGATGAATTGCGGAATAACAATGGCCAGATCCAAATCACTGCTGTCAGATGCCAAGCGGGTTCTCGTAGAGCTGTTTGTTTAGGAAAGAGTCAGTCATTGTAGGCATTGTCATAAAAAATATTCTCGCTATTTACCCAAAAAAAATTCTACTGTAGAATTTGGCAGGCTGCTCCATACGGCTTCAATCATGTCATGAATCTTGCCAATGACAATGTTTCTATCTCTGATGGTCTTTTGCGTCATGGCGTTATCCTACATGGTCGATTGATCATCAGTGCCGCTGACAACGACATACACAGCAAACCAAATGTTACCTCGTAAAACTTGAACAGCTCCCTTTCCAGCCGCAAGCTAGCCATCTTCTTTCTCTGATACTCGGGCGAATGGAACCTGTTGTGGTCAACAAGGAGGAACAAAGGGTCCTCGTAGCGACAACCGCTGCACTCATGTCCATCAAAACCATTGCGTTGGAATTCTTCATTCTCCACAAAGACAAAGCCGGACCCAAACCGTTCGTAAAACGCGTTGTAGACATGCTCTGTTCTTAGACAATAGTACATGAAGCAAGTGAATCCGCAGCACCGTCTTTCGATATCCTCCAGCTCTGATGAAAAAAAGTAGCTGTAACTATACTTCATAATCCCATAAGCGCACGCATCGATCTGGATTCCAGACTGCTTGTAAGTATAAGCCTTCTAATACATCGACGCAATAGTCTATAGGAAGCATTGTTTTTTTTTATGTGATGTGAAAGTTGTGAGAGTGAGATAAAAGTTAGAGGGTCATGTCGATAGTCTTGATGCTCTTTTTTCCCTGCGCTGTCAATCAACACCTCTTTCTCTTCCAATCAAATCATGCCCCTGGATTGTTATCTTGGGCATCTTGCATAAAATGGTGTTATTTCAAAAGTTCTCATGAAACTAGATGTTTCAGCGCAAGATGAACACTGAGGCTAAAAGGCGTGTTCCAAAGATCATTATTAGGAGCTGCATGAAATCCTCTTGGATCGACGTCTTGGTCGATAAAATTTGGTTTATTCAATCTCGCAGAAATGGAGTAAAGCATCTTTTTGGTTACTGTCTTGCCCTATTACGCTTAGGAAGGCACACACTAGAGAGCCTTCTCTTGTTCTCAAACTCAGAGAACTTGGATTAAATCATGCCCTGACATTTAGTTGCTCTAACTACATTTTTGTAAAGGACAACTGAAATTGTCCTGGATGTTCTAAATGGCACTGATATCGTGCGTAGAATGCTTTCTTCTACAGGTCTTCACTATATATATATATATATATAAGCCTTTGTTGAGATAGAAGATACTGTATGCTGACTTTGTTTAGATTTCTGAATAATTTTTAACTGATGCTTGCGAAATAAACCGTCTTGAATATCAGCCTTCCTTGAAGATTATAAAACAACATCATCGCTCCCTAGCTTTCTCTATTCGCTTTGATTTCTCTTTTGATTTCTCTTTTGATTTCTCTTTGAATTTCAATTCGAAATTCGCTTTGAAAGTAGCATATTATTATAGCGAATTTTTGCGGAGAAGACGATAGTGTAATTGGATTTTAGATAGAACGCGTTGATGATGAGGAATCAGTGATTTTTTTGAAATTTGCGAAATTTGGACAGAAGCTATTAATAAAACTTTTTGAACACTATATAAATGATGGCTGTATCTGTAGTAAAAGTTGTAGACGGTACTTTGATTGATTAGGACGTGTTTGAATCGGCCTTGTCTTCACTATGTATACTGGAAAACTATTTGTTTTAAAAAATAGACAAGCCAATCACATTCTTTCAAGTATAATCTTAAAGAATTGAGAGCTGGATAAAGGTGAATAAAACCACCGGAGAAGCCGACAATGGGGAGGGGTGTTTACCGTAGCGAAGCAAAGGTGCAAAAGCATGGTAATTAGGTATTGGATCCAATGCTTGATAGCAATGGTTTTAATGACGGCTTTACCGTAGTGAAGCAAAGGTGCAAAATCTATGACAACTAAGCACACTTGGTAACATTGATTTATATAAGGGCTTGATCGCAGCGAAGCGAAGATGCAAAACCATAGTATTCAAACAGCAAATTCGATTTCTCATTCTCTAAATTAATAATTGACTGTTAGAAATCTACTTTATGTAGCAGATTTTTATTGCTACTGATTTGAAATGTTCACGGCGACAGCCCGCAGGACGACACCATCTTCAAGCGTAATGGGATAGGTTGGATAGTACAGTATACTCGAAAAATATATTTCAGCATTTAGTACAAACATCGGCTGTATGCGCCAATATTGGGGTAGATGTGGATCATTGGATGACTATGGATTTGAATGACCTACTATTCCAACTCTGGTTTTCACTGCTTATACAGTCAAACCTCTACGAATGCAACAAGACCAATATCACATCCTATGATCAGATTCAGATTTGAATTATAGCATGTCCAGCATGGCATTACAAAGCATTGCTCAACGTCACGCGTTTTGAAATTACGCTGAAATAGCAATGTAATCAAAGTCCATCTCTTCTGCTTTATTTTATCCCTTTTCAATTCAAGCTGATATGTCTGCAACTACTCGTACCATCATCGATTTGAAGACACAAAAATACGATAGACAGCTCAGGTATTTAGAGAGGTCTTAGATGACCAAATGCCGCAGTTGTTGATGTTGTTTTCCTTCAGACTTTGGGCAGCGACAGGTCAAGAAGCTTTGGAGCACGCCAATATTTGTCTGATAAATGCAAACTCTACTGGTTGCGAGATCATCAAGAACCTCGTACTTCCTGGTAAGTGATAATTGCTCATTTTTCAGCTGACGATTTATCATGAAAATGCAGGTGTTGGTAATGTCACTATTGTGGATGGAGGCAAAGCTACCAAGGACGACATTCGCAGCAACTTCTTCTTGGATCCCGAGTCGATTGGAGAGTCCAAAGCCAAGTCTGCATCAGAGCTGATCCAAGAGCTAAATGAGGATGCCAATGTGGCGTTTGTGGAAAAGGTTTCTTGACCTCTGGAATGGTCTGTGAGAACCAAGTACTGACAATGGCATGTAATGTAGGATCCTTATGATTTGATTGATAACCAAACCGATTTTTTCGACCCCTTCACCATGATCATTGCAGTCAATGTACCAGACATCCATCTGATGAAGTTATCACCTCTCTGTGTCGAGTCAGGAAAGAGCTTAATAGCAGTAAAGAGTAAAGGTCTTGTCGGCATGTTTACCATCCAAGCGCCAGAGCACACAGTCATCGAGACGCATCCTGAAAATGTAGTCGACCTTCGCTTATCATGTCCTTTCCAACAATTGAGCGACTATGTATCCACCTTTGACTTGGATTCATTGGATCAAACAGATCACAGCCATATCCCGTTTGTTGTAATCATCTTGATCTACGTGGAGGCATGGAAGAAAGCGCATGAGGGACAGGCACCACAAACCTATCAGCAACGACAAGAGTTTATCAAAGCATTGAGAGCAGGCATGAGAACACCTGATGAGGAGAACTTTGAGGAGGCTATTGCGAATGCCTGGAGACTGTCTCCATCAAACCCTGTACGTGTACACATTTGATTGTATCATGCACTCGTAACTGAACATTTGACAGATCTCGTCTGAAGTCCGCCAGATATTTGAGGATCCGTCTTGCCAAAGTGCACATGGCAACGTAAGTAGTACTCAACATGTAGCTCGCTCTTCAACAGCATACAGACTGAATTGACTTGTTAAAAGTCGCCTCTATTCTGGATATTGACCAGAGCAGTGCGAGATTTTGTTGAAAATGAGGGCGGCGGACAGCTTCCCTTGTCTGGCAAACTGCCTGACATGAAATCTGACACTTGCAATTACATCAATTTACAAAATGTGTAAGTGAACCTGTCCAGTATCCCACATGAATAATGGATGACTGACGAATCCTTGATTAGATACCGTAAAAAAGCCTTATTTGATTTAGACGCTATCAAAAAGAGAGTGGCAGGATTGACAGAAGGATCCAATGTCCATATCCCTGAGGAGACAGTGGAACTCTTTTGCAAAAACGCATCCAACATTAGAGTGATTCAGTACAAGGCCATGACAGAGAACCATGTACAGCCTGACAAATTAGGTGAAATGCAGTTTCATATTCATCTATAGCTCAGGCAGAACCTATACTAAACTTTTAAATTATTCTATTAGTCAATTTGTTTAAGAATGAAGAAAACTTCTGCTATTACTTCATTTACAAAGCCGCTGACAGATTCCAATTAGAACATGGTCGTTTGCCAGGTAAGAGGAGACTCTCGCTCGTTCTGTACGATGCACTGACAAGTACCAACCAAAGCATCTCAAGCCGATTTTGAAAATTTGAAGCATCAGGCACAATCATTGATGGAGAGTATGGGCATCACATCTGAAGATGCGGAGGAGATATTAGCGACTGACATATTGAACAAAGTCATGACAAACTAGTAAGCTGAACCAATACATGTCTCTCCCCCCCCCCCATCATGGCGTGTTTTAATCTCCAATTTGTATAGTGTTCGTTTCGGCGATTTGGAAACTGCAAACATGGCAGCTCTCTTAGGTGGCTTGGCAGCTCAGGAAGCGATCAAACTGATAACTCATCAGTACATTCCCGTCAACAACACATGTGTCTTTAACGGCATCACCTCTACTAGCAGTGTCTATCAGTTATAATTCAACAAAGGGTGTTTTAAAATGAAATAAGATATGATAATTTTATACAATTTATAAGAAGAGAAATAAAAAAACGAAATGCTAAAATGAACATCATCTACAACATTTACAAAATAAGAAAGAATAAGAAAAAAAATATGGTGATTTTCTGTATGTGTCTACTAAAATAGAATAAAAGAAGAAAGGGGGGGGGGGAAGAGAAAGATGAATGGCGATAAAAAGAAAAAGATGAATGGATACAAAAATACAACATTAGAGACACAAATCTCATAGATAAACCTTCTAGTTCTAATCATTTTGATGTGTGTTGTGTGTAGAATGCATATTGAGATACATGATTTAAACAATGGCCGTCTCCATGCGAGCAGCGACACAAGCAGTAAGAGCAGCACCAACACCACTGCCATCTCTGGCAAGACCAAGGCGGACAGTCTTGCGAATATCAGTGATTTCAGGCAACATCTCACTGAGTGCTTCGTACATTCTGGTTTCAAAAGAGGGGTAGAATTCGTAGAGAGAGCCATCGATACCAATATCACAGCCATCGGCATCAACACCGCAATGCTTGACAATAGCGGCAATAGAGGCAGCGGCAAGACGAGCAGCGCGCTTACCGACAAGCTCACAAATCTTCTTGATGAAACCAGCTTCGGTGGTAGTGACATCGTGTAAGTTGAGGTTGGTATCCAAGATCTCCTTTGTGTTTTCATAGTTGGAAGAGCTATCAGACTCAATGTTGGACATGAAGGCAGTTTCAAAAGACCAATGTCTGGAGATATCCTTGGACCAAGCAAGGGAAGTGTTCTCATCACGCTTGAGCAGGAGCTCACGATCAATCATATCGGTCAACACGTTACGAGTAATCTCACCGAGATACATACCAGAAATCATCTTTTCATAGAGCTGAGCATGAGGGTTAATAGATTCACGATCTAATTTGTTATCGAAACGGGTCAAGGGAAGAATCTTGCGTTCATTGTCAAAGGCACCGAATTCCATGTTGATAATCATTTCGTCAGCAGTGGCCTTGGGGCCCTTCCACTTGGTGATCTTGTCAAACTTTTCAATGTAAGCACCGTTGGCACCAGTGCCCAAGATGAGACCAGCCAATGTAGCAGGCTTGTTGTATGCATTGGACAAGAGTGTACCGACAGTATCGTTGACAAGCGCAGAGACCTTGACGGGGACATGCTTTCTCAAGAGAGCATCTTGCAGTAATAAAACGGGGTCCTTACCAACAGCACCAGTACAGGCGAAACCCTTAGTCCAGGTAGAAAGAACACCACGATTGATCTGATATTGATAAGAAGTGTGAATACAAATTGAAACTCCATGCCATTTTCCATTTTTCTCTCCCTCTCAAAAAGACAAATTACTTACTCTGGATTGAAGAACAGGGAAGGAGAAGGTATAACCCAAGTTAAGCTCAACCTCTTGATCCTCGAGACCTTGCTCAGTCAAGAAAGTGTCAACACATTCGGCAATATAATCTATATAACAAAGTGGAAAAATAAAAGCCATGTTAATTCGGAGTTCTCGAGGTTTCATTTGGATGATAGAATATAGTATGATTGTTGGGGGGTGCCATTGGGAGATGAAAAATAACATACCACACAAGTTACGCATAGGACCAGTCTTCAATTCTTCAGAAACTCTGGATTTGGAGGATACAGTCTTGTATTTGCCTTGGCCTTCGAGGGTAACAAGAACAACTCTCAGGTTGGTTCCACCCAAATCAAGAGCAAGGAAATGCCCTTCTTCCTTACCTGCAAAACGATACATGTCAATATACAAATCTCTATGTGAAATCAATTGACCACTCACCAGTCAAGCGACCCTCAACAAACGATGGGATCATGGCAACAGTAGCACCTTCCTTCTCGAGACCCTTATCCATCTCAGCCATGAAGTGATCGCGAATCTGATTGAGGTAGGTGGTATCTACACTGAATTGATCAATGATATCGCGCATGTAAGCTTCTTGTTCAGGAGTTCCACCGAGCTCTTTGACTTCGTAGGCTTGAGGAGCTTTTGTAGACATTTTTTTTTTAGAGATTGATTGTATTAAATTTCGCGAAGAAGAAAAAGAAGAAAAGAGAGGTGGATGTATGATTATAATTTGCCCTATTTTAATGCAGCGGACTTTTTTCTTCTCAGAAACCGCAAAAAAAAAAAAATCAAAATTCCATGTTTGAAACACAGTGATTTGCCGCATGATATGGTATCAGTTCAATTTGGCTAAGGTTGGTCATTGATTATACATGATGTTTACACTCAAGGACGAAAGGGGGACGTCGTACGCTGCTGCAATGACATACCATAAAAGCCACATCTTGCAATTTAGCTCAAAAACACTAAAATGCGCCTCAAATGCTGGATCTACAAAGGCAAACCAAACCAACATCCATGTGACTCTTAATCATCTTGATCTCCTTCATCTTCAACCCTCCCGTAAGAATCAGGAAGAAGACAGATCTCACCACCGGTAAAATTGATTCCACGGTAGAGATGATTCCACTTTTTGATCAAAAAAAAAAAAAAAAGAGACCAATAGGGGTAAAAATGTGTCATATGCTAAACAAGAACATGTGCGGAGGTGTCAATTTCATGAGGAGGAGGAGGGATTATGGATAAACGTTGTCTTGTTTGATAAACACATTGTCAAAAATGCTGAATGGGCAACTACGTCAATTATCATATTCTACACGATGGCTATGATGTGATGGCATTGTAACATGGGAGCACAAACATTATCATTTTCTTTGATTTATTTAGCCCCCCGATGACTAATGTCGTAGGCTATCATGACCGCAATGTAGTCTCAAATTCCAGTACTGTCGAATTCATTCATCATGTACGTTGTGGCAATTCAATATATAAGTTGAGCAAGACATTACAATAGCCACAGGCTGGATTTTATGGCCCAAATTTGTCCAACATGACCCGAATGTTTTAACAACGCACAATCTGTCAACAAGCCATTATTTTCAGACGTAACATATCACTGTTGGCTCCAAAATGTGTAGCCACATTAAATGCCTCAGTACATCATTGGTTGACATTTGTAAATGGTAAGTCTGTTTTCAATCTGATTGCAACGATGGGAGCTGACTGAGTGATGAAACTCTCTGTGCCTGGATGTTGCTAAATTTTTTAGTTTTTAACTTTCTGAAACCACCAGGAAACCCTCTATATCAACCTGTTAAGGTGGATCTGACTATCCATGTATGATTCACATCCGTGTTGATGGAAACAGTTCATATTCGAGGAAACAGCGTAGTTGTATCGCGTCCTAGTGTTCAAATATACGCAGGACACGTCGAAATTCAGGTGCATTGGAGCTGTGATTTCTCGTGCTAGGAGCCGTTTTAGATAGCTGGGATAGCACTAAACAATTGCTCTCAGCTAGCATTTGCTTTATGACAGCTTTGCCCAACTTTTTGGGGACCCAAAAAACATGACCAAAAATCGACCAAAAACCATGAGGGGTACCTCATGCTTTTCATCGAAAATCAAACGATCGCGTTTTTCACCTTGAAAATGAAGACTTCTACTATGGTATATATTGAATCAAAATGTTTCTATCGATCCAACGCAACCCCTGAAGCTTAATTTGTGAGGTCTTCATATGTAAAATTTCGACATTATGGCCAAAAACCTCATATCATTATTTTACAGATTGCTCGATAGATTTGTTCAAACATATCTTATAACTAGTACCAATGGATGCGCCTTGAAAAGTACTCCATAAATACTGAAGGGAGTATTGCTGAATCACCACGACTTATATAGTCGAAGTAAGCAGAATAACTCAATCAAGTCAAAATTGAGTCAAATATTTCTATTTCAGGTGAAAGCAAACAGTCGGGGTTATAATACCTTTTGGGCGACGGCTGGCAAAATCAATGCTTCCACTTTAAATCATGAATGTAAGCGATGTTTATGAATCTATTATTAGGAGAGGAATTGCAAATTAAATAGTACTAGAACCTAACTTGGATACTTAAATATGCAATTTGTCTATATGTGAATTATCATTGTTCAGAAAGGCAAGTTTAAATGCTAATCTCAAGGCTAGAGCTGCTCGATTAAATGTAATGGTCGCCACTGCCTCATGTTATTAGTGCTTCTCAGTTAAGCAAATACCCATATGTATCATATAATTAAACTACAATATAAAGTGAGAGCCTCATTGAGCGCTGCAAAGGTCAGAACGCTAATCTTCTCAAGCGATTGAATTGACTTCACAAGGTAGCGTAACTAACAGACTTTGCAAATGTTGTGGACATTAGAGCATGATACAAAGGTGAAAACGCATACTGAGTTTAATGGTTTGATATATTTATTATGAAAGCCCACTAATTATTTACATGTTCAAGTGAGGCCAAATAATAATATTGAAATGAAAAGAAAAAGTATATTACGTTTCTTTGTGAGTTGGAGGGAAATGATTTAAATTGCGTTAATAAAATTAGATTATTTAAAGGTAGTTGATGACACATTCGCTAGGAGCTTCAGAAGGATATCCTTCAAGACCTTCAGGGTTCTTGCTTTGCCAGTTCCACAAAGAGGCACAAGCCTCTTCCAAAGAGAACTTGACCTTCCAGCCCAATTCCTTGTTGGCCTTGGCAGGATCAGCAGTAAGGTCAGGGACATCGCCAGGACGACGAGGAGCAATCTTGTAAGGCAATTCACGACCAACAGCCTTTTGGAAAGCGTGTACCATCTCCAAAACTGTGGATCCAACACCTGTACCCAAATTATACTCTACACAACCGGGATTATCTTCGAGCTTCTTGAGAGCAGCTAAATGGCCTTCAGCCAAATCAACGACATGGATATAATCTCTATCAATTGAAGCAAATATCAGACACACCATTCCCGTCGGATTGCACAACACTAGCAAATCTTACCTGATACATGTGCCATCACGAGTGGGGTAATCGTTGCCAAAGACAGACAAGTACTCACGCTTACCAATAGCCACTTGGGCAAAGTAAGGCATCAAGTTGTTGGGGACACCAGTAGGGTTTTCACCCAAAATACCAGAGGGATGAGCGCCAGCAGGGTTAAAGTAACGGAGAAGAGCGGCGTTCCACTCCTTTTCGGCAGTACAGAGATCGCGAATAATGTGTTCAACGAAGAGCTTAGTGCGACCGTAAGGGCTCTTGGCATCCTACATGTCAAAAAGGTCAGTACCCGTGCTAGTGTGTCCTACAGATCAATCACTTACAGTAGGGCTGGTTTCAGGGATAGGGATAACGGGGGGCTCACCGTATACAGTTGCAGAAGAAGAAAAGACAATGTTCTTTACATTAGCCTCCTTCATGGCTTGCAACAAGACAATAGTACCAGTGATGTTGTTGTAATAGTAATCAAGAGGGATTTGAGTGGACTCACCGACAGCTTTCAAGCCAGCAAAGTGGATAACAGAATCAATAGGATGACGGCTGAACACTTCCAAAAGAGCCTTCTTATCGAGGATATCAGCCTTGTAGAAATGAGGCTTCTTACCAGAGATTTGTTCGATACGGCGGACAGCTTCATAAGAGGCGTTGTAAAGGTTATCATAAATGACGACTTCTCTGCCGGCATTCAATAATTCGATAACGGTATGAGAACCTAGATTAAAGGACATGCATATGAGTGATTTGGTTCATTACGTCTGTGGAGATCAAAAACTGCTTACCAATGTAGCCAGCGCCACCAGTAACGAGAACAGCCTTTTGAACCATGTTGATTATCTTTAAAGAAAGAGAGTTTGAGTTTTGTATAGAAAAGAAAAAAGAAAACAAGAAAGATTGAATTAAAAACTTGGGTGTTTATATACTAAATGCTGTTTTACAAGCAGTTTTATAGAAAGAGCGCTTTTCAGTCCGAGGATGATGGGTAAGGTTTCTTATGTAATCCATAGACTTTTCCAAACAAAGTAACTGTCATTTTCCAACCCTTATTTACCATGAATTGACTCCATGTGTCCATTTTTCCGGCCCTGCCATTCTCTGAGGTTTGCATACAACTGTCCTCTTGATATAACCATTATCCTCGTCGAGACGGTAGTAAGCATGTGGCTGAATCAATCAAATCCTACCACATTTAATCCTGTGTAGCCTATGTTAAAAATAAACTTCAGATATATCCAGAATTCTTTATACGGCACATTGCAGGAAAGTTTTGATTATGAGACATTCACCGCTTTATTGGCAATGGAAAGGCCAAGTGGCATCGAGCTGCCTGGAAAAGGAAATTGTTGTGTGCCATGATATTCAAGCTTAAAACGTACCGAAAAACTATTTGCTCATCTCATCTCTGCTTCTCTAGTAAAAAAAAAGCCGTGTGTTATAATGTAGACATCTCCTCTCCCTGTATATTTTAATTATCGTATCTTGTCATCAAGGAAGAACCACTTGAAGCCTTCAGACATTCTTAATATGGTCAAGTGTTTCATTAAGTAAGCAACTATTTGCAACGGAGCTGATCAATTCTGGAAACGATCTGCCGTTTTCCATCGACCTGATTATTTAATCAACTTTGAAAAAGGTACTCCAATGAAATGTACTAATTTAGAATTCTTTATACGGTGGATAGTTCATTGCGGTGTTGTTCTGCTTGAGATAGAATAGACATGATGTTATTTTGATGGACTACGGTCAGGTCCTTGGTGACATGAGCGTATAAATCAGGCTTGTTTTGTTGCATATCTAGTAAAAATCTGTTAGTTATCAAAACGACATTACATTCAATAGCAAAACTACCTCTAAAAACCTGCTCAAAGCACTCATACGGGTCGATTTCGTCCAGTGGTGATTGATACAGGATTTCCTCTTCCATTTCGTCTTCAGAATCCTCGCCATTCTCTTGAATCTTTTGATTTGCCAGAAACTCGAGATATTCGGCATCTTCATCTTGAACATCACCATCTAGAATAAGTTATTAATAATCAAATCATTGTGTTGGGGTTCTATTGGTATTGCACAAATTGAGCTGCCCTGATCTACCTTCATCTTCTTCCTCATCATTATCTTCTTCGTCTTCATCTTGATCTTCATCCTCGTCCTCATCCTCCTCTTCTTCAATGTCACCAGTTTCCTCTTGGGCCTCTGCATCGCCCTCCTCGTCCTCGTCTTCGTCCTCGTCTTCTTCATATGTGCCTTGATAAATTGTTTCTAGGTATTGTCGATCTGTGTAATCCGATAAACTGAATACCCACGAATAACACTGATTATATAATCAAAACTTACTTTCGATGGCATCTGGTAAACTTTCAAACACATGTGACACACTGGTCAAGATTTGAGGCCATCCTGATTGCAATGAAACGGGAATCTTGTCTGCTGGCAATGCTAATAAGGAACACAAGGTAACAATGGCTAATTTCTTATCATGCACTCTAGCGGTTTGTTTAGCAACGTCAGCATGACTACAGATTGTATTTGGACACGAACCTTGAAAATTTATCGAGACATGAAAACCATAGTGTAAAGAACCCTTGGCTCCATTGGTTTTGATCGAGAATATGAAGCGTTAATTCCGTATTGTAATACAAGCAATTGAGCACCTATTTCACACTGTCAATAGCGCCGTTGAAATGCAATGGTGCGTTATGAACTTACAACTTCGATACAATGAATCTTGAATTCAGTCGACTTCATTTGACCAGTAAAGATGTACTGAAATACAAGATTCAAGAAGGGCGCTACAAACTGCACACAGTATCTGTTAGATGACAGCGCAGCAAGAAAGTGACACATACTTTACCATATCAACAGACCCACGGCAGTGGAGCAGCACGGCCTCCATTAATTTACAAGAACACACTCGATCTTTTTCATCCATGTCTTCGCTCTTCATGACCCATTCAATCATATCAAACAGCATCTGCTTGACTTGATCATTCGAGATGAACACATCCTTACCATAGGCAACAAAGTTATCCAAGCAGGGCAGCATTTCTTGCATATATTGACACCCAGATTCCTTGAAGGAGCCGTAAATCAATTCAAACACACCCCACATGGTTGGCGTTACAGTCTTTGAGGTAAATGTACAGGAATCTATGATTTCGAATACTTCATCGTACAAATCGAAGATGCGATACTCCAATGTATAGGTGATCACGGGCAATAGCGCATTCTCGAGTTGCTGGAGGATGTCAGGTGTGTTCTCCAAACTGAGGATAAGTGTGCCAATGGTTTTCAATACGCCCATAGCGGCCATTGTCTTTTCGCCCCTCTCTTCTGCATTGGCATCATCTTCCTCTAGAGTGTTTCCAGTCGATGCTTGGGCAAGTTCTTCCATGATACGCAGAAAGGCGTCTCGCAGCTGTGTACATAACTGAAGTGCAAAAGGAGCTAACTGTGCTGCGAATACTTCGACAAAGCTCTGCATGACATTGGCAAGGGTATCGATGTCAATTTCGTTAGTTAAGTTGAGCAGTTCTTGCATAATGAATGGTAAGTTGGGCCCCATAGCCTCGCACACTGTAGAGTGATGTTAGTCGTAGGGCGTTCCAGAGTGCATTGCACACACACACACACACACACACACACACACGTACCACTTTCATGTCTAGTCATGGGCTGCAAGGCCAAAGCAGCTTGCACTCTTACTGGGAGCTCAGGATCGCGCAAACAGTCGAGCACATTTTGATACAAGATGGCAAGATTCTATATAGCTGGATGTCAACCAACGTGCATGGTGCAAACCTATTAGCCGTTTACCTGCTCGTTTGAAAAGTCCAAGTCGCTAAAGTGTCTTGCAATATCACAAGCCTAGTAGACAGCAAGTATAAAGTGAGTCAATAGCTTCAACTGTCATGGCACAGCACCCACTTACTCTTGCGCGCAGATAAGGGAATCGACTCTTGAACTCGGGAAACACATGCGTGACAAAGAAAGGCTCCATCATCTCCTCGACTTCAGTTGAACTACCCACAATGACAGGAGCCAAAGCGCCAATCATGCACAAGGCACCATCTTTATCGCGTCCATTCTTTTGGTCTTCCGGCGTCTCGATGTAGTTGTTCAATACACCATGAATGAATCCTAGAATGCTCATAAACGTGTGCTTGTTGCGGTTTTTGGCGAGATCAATCAACAGCATAATGGCATTTTGCTGTGTGGAAGATGTGTCTTCCAGAGGATCCATCTTTTTGTGGGCGTAGTCAACTGCATCTTCAGTCCACAGCTGTTCGTCTTCTTTGGAAAAGCACAGTTGAGGAAACAGAAACTGAGCCACCAGTGTTTCTGTGTGCGGCTTGATGATCTGCCAGGTGATCTTGTGTTTAATGCTGTCATCGAAAAAGGCAGCTGACAAGGCCAAACATCGATTTGACATCCAATGTTCCTTCTTGATCCAGCCGTCGATTTGTTGCAGGTACGCTTGTAGAATATTGGGTGCAAAGTTGGTGACAAATGACTTGGCAAACGAAGTGTACTTTGTCAAACTGGACGGAAGTATAGCTGGATTGCCATACTTGCCAAACAGTCGATTGAGACAGTGGTAGGCCCATTTCTTGGTCTTCCACCATCCAAACTTTTCTCTCTCTTCCAAATCTGCAGGTTGAACCTCGTTGGGAATCTTTTTGTCTACCAGTTGCAGGAAGATGGTACACCACCCAACAAGCGCAGTATGCTCCTGCAAGCATTTGGGTAAATCGACATGAATACTAGAGTGATAAATCTTGAGAGCCAACTTGAGCATGTCGCCTGCTTCAGCAGTATCCAGTTGTAGCAATTTGTTGCAAATCTCTTGGATGGAAGGGAATGTGAGCTTGATAATCTGTTGCAAAGGCTCTCGACGCTCCATTGCTTTCCACCTATGCATAAATGCAGCAGCTGTCAGTCATGTCGTCGCCATGGTAACAGTATTGCCAACTTACTGGTACACCTTGACCACCTCTCTCAGAGCAACGAGACCAATATGCACGACACGGATGTCATCAGATGTCAAAAATGCCTCTAGTTCATTGATGAAGATGGGCCACTGTTCAGGAAAATCACTGTTCAAAATATAATTCAACGAAGCAGCCAATTGCACTCTAAATCTAGCATTGAGCACACACTGTTGATGATTTCATGAATTTATGCTACTTACTGTACAGCAGCCGGAGTAGTAATGAACGCATGAAGAATGTTCTTTCTAATGACAGCTTTGTCTTCTTCCGCAAGTCCCTTTGCTGAACGATTCCAATGCTTATGCACACAGTTTTTAAAGTAGATGGCAGCTATTTTCAACGTAAGCATATATATAGCAATGCTTATGTTTTATCTCTAGGTAACTCACCTGCTTGGCGTGCCCCCAATTCCAATTCTTCAGCAGCCTGGATCTGCAACACAAGAGGCAAAAAGCCTGCCTGAGACTCGAACTAGATAAAAGGAGTAGTCAGTCTCGATTATATTACCGTGTGTATATACGCTCAATAACGCTCGTACATTTCTGATATTGAGTTCGGCTTGCTTGTGCACGTTTGGGTCAGGATGATACGTCGAGACAAATAACTGGTAAACCGCGTTTTGATCCATGTGCTGGTTGATCACTTGCTTGATTTAGACAGTTTGTAGTGAAAAGAAACAGCGAGAAATATAAAGTATCAGATGTGGGTTGCCCTTTAATTTCTTGAGTTACAACCCGGCATTCAAAATCTCTGATTGGCTTATCATTCGTATTAGCATATATAATATGGACAAGATAGACCGTGTGTCCTAGTGATAAATGTGCTAAATCAACCGGCTAAATTGAGTAACTAGTTACGCTAATACATCACTGATGAGCTGCTGTTATTTTGTGCGGACAGTGCTGCCTTTCTGACTTGCTCACATAGCTCGAGTTGGCAATTACGCATTAGATTCGATTGATAGTTCTGTTTAGACGTGTGTAAATGGCATTCTGGTAGGTCCAACCTTTCAAGCAAATGGAAGGGGGGGTATTCAAATAGGAAAGCCCTACTTTTTTTTAATCATGATTTACTTTGGCTACATGGATGATGCATCTTCATAGACTTGTACATTCTCTGGCCAAGTGACCAGTCTAATAAAACGGTATTAGTGATTCAGCTGTTACCCAAGCAATGAAACAGCTTACCTTGTTGCATTTGTAGCAAGTGAATAGCTGCTGTGGCTCTCGATTACTAAATGCTTGGCTCTTGTTTCGTCTAAAACTATCAAATTCATCTGCTGTCGATGATGAGCTTTTACTGCCTAATCCCATGTATCTGTTTTCAGCAGACAGGACAGGCGGTATACTGTCAACATTGGATCTACCACCCACACTGCTTGCGCCGCTTATGGCTGCTCCTGCTCCTCTGCTTTGTGGATACTGGTTTGTAGGATTTATAGAGGAGGAGTGCAATGAATTAGGACGAACTGAGGAGGGTGCTTGTGGCGGTGGAGGTGGTTGACGATACGATATAGATGGCGGAGGTGATGGACTGCGGCTGTAACGTCGTTGATGTTCATAAGGGCGGCTATGATAGCTTCGAGGTGGTGAAGGTCTTCTGCCTCGACCACTTGGACTTCTGCCTCGAGGAGGGCTTCTACCTCGGTAAGGCAGTGGCGAGCCTCTGCGGCCGCTTCCACGATAATGGGATGGAGGTGATCGACTACGGCTTCTGCTGTAACTTCTTCTTGATCTTCTGCTGGAGTTATTGCTGCTGTGGTGACGATGATAATCAGGACTATAGCTTCTGCTACGACTGCGACTATAGCTATAACTTCTCTCACGGCTACCACGACCACGACCACGGCCACGTCTTCTACTTGGACTTGGACTACGACTTCGACTACGACTGCGACTACGACTACGACTACGACTACGACTACTGAACCCTGGACTATGGCGTCTATTGTAAGCATCTCTATTCATACCCGCCATAGGAGGAGCATGATAGTGCTTCGAAGCGCCCGCCAATTTATGACGTTCCATTTCGTCTCTTTTCTGTTGCAGTAATGCTTCTCTGTAGCCATCCAAATAGCCCTTCTCCCAACCCTGAGTATCCTTATTGTTTTGGCCGTGCTTACCGTTTAGGATAACATCGTCTGCATTCAACAATTCTAGACCAGCATAAAAGTCGTCTACAGCTGCGATCATTTCTTTTGTAGGTACTGGTCTTGCGTAGGGTACTTTAATGGCGTCTGGATCCAAAGGTTCGTACGAGTTGCTCTGCTGTTTACAAATTAATTAATGTAAGGGCACTTGATTCAAGTTTAATTAAATTAACTATACGAACCTTGGATAGGAGCATTAGGCCTGCGGGCAACTCAAAGTAGGGCTTCTCGATTATGGGTACTTGTGCGGGCCCTGGAGAAGAAATGGGGCGATAGTGTTGTGTCATGGAAGGAGGTGGTGGTTGGTGCGCTTGTGATTGTGGCGAAGGCAGAGGTGCATTCATGGCTGAAGGCTTTTCGACATGATGTGGGGTCGGCTGACCTGTGACATCTCTCTGGATGGCATCAATAATATCTGATTTGAATATCTTCTTGGTGTACCAAATGTTTATAACCTTGGTTACTTTAGCTCTGAGTTCAGGTGTGGTGGCACCGTCGTATACCAGCTTCAAAAGGGGTGTCAACAGGGGCAGAATAGCATCCTTCATCCAAGACAGTTGTTTTCTAGAGCTGTTAAAGCAAATGGGTGAATCAATGACTTGGATCAAATACAGACGAGCGAGTCAATGTTTACATGTGATACACCACATCGTTGATCAGATATAGCATGTGTATTCTCTCGTCTTGTCCTGAACGAGACTTTGCCAACGAGTAGATGTAGTCCATCAGAGCAGCGACATGAGCAGAAGAATGGCAGTGATCAAACACCCAGTGCTTTCCCGTCTGTCAATGCAACACATGCCATTAAATATTGAATCCTCCAATGAAGCCTCTTTCTGCACTAGACTCACCTCGATATTGGCTTTAGAGCATTCGTGCATAATCATATGGAGTATAACACGAAAGTCCTCCACATTCTTCTTTGTTAGATTTTTGGAGCTGCCATCCAGCATTTTTTGACATAATTTTTGGAAGCTTGCCGAAGGAGAATCATCCCCATTTGTAGAACTGTTCATCATGTTTGATTGTTTGTAAGATAAACAAAAGTAAAAAAGAGGAGGAAAAGCTTTTTTTTTTTCTAGTAAGAAATATATATCTGATTGTTCTACTGCAGAGAAAGTCATGAAAAAAAAAAAGACGCTTGAAGCACTAAAACAACAGGTATTCAATGTGCGCAAAAACACCAACCGTGTGTTGCATCAAACGCTTGTGCCCATGTCAAATTACTTGTTCTGATTCCTGCTTCACAGATCTACACTCGGTATACTAATGCTAAGATTCGCATCCTACCGTAGCAATCATTAGCGCCAAGTACATGCTTAAAAATTTGTAGAAAAAGATCAAGTTATCGTTGACATGCATCTTGAATAACAAACAATCCGAAAGGGGTGTTCTGCCGGCAAAGGATCCAGAAGCTTGCTTTTAGCGTGCATATACTAACATTTTCTAGTATTTTAAGGCAACGTTGGTCTCTAAGAGCTACATCAAGTATACATGTCTGGCGAATAATGCAATGTGGCTAGATGTTGTTACAAGCTTTGGTGGTCTATCAAAGTGTTCACCGTCAATTCACATAATTTAAATGTCAATTGAAGTGTGCTTTCCATTCTATGCTGTCTCGTCTAATTTCAATGTATATCAACATTGCTCTGCTATTATATAGCAAACTACAACAAAATTTGCCCGTTTTTAAGCATTGGTTGCTCTAGATGTCACTATGGTAAAATCGCCTTTCAAGCAGCATTACAAGAAATGCTCTGATGTAGTCTCATTCTGGAATCAATCACTAATATATAGATAATGGAGAGAGATTGCTGGTCAAGAAGCATCGAGGCATGAGCTAGGCAACAGTGCATGATTCTATGACTTTTGCACAATATCATCAGACTCAACCGTCCCAGAATGCTCTTTAAATGTAGCCCACGGTAATGACACTTGAAGCAATTTAGAATATCACATTTAATCGCTTCGATCATCAAATTTTGCTGGAGAAACATAGTGGTTGCTTTGCGAGTCTCTCTTCAAATATCCGTTGTTTGGTTGGCTAATCCAAGTGCCTTGAAGCTCATGCTATCACAGATGCCAGGAGCGCTTTGAAGGACTAGGATTCCCAGTCCGAATTTGCATCCACATTTTTACCTTTATAAAAGCGTAGTCCTAGTCAAGAGCTTTGTTTGACATTTAATAGACTCATATACCCTTTAAATGACAAGCTTTATTTTCAAAAGACTTATTAATCAATCTATATTCACCGTAAACAAAGTATGCATTCACCAGCAAAAACATACGTTCTCATCGAGCTTACCGCTCAGAGATGGTCAAACCAATTGGAGAAAGTTGATGGAAACCCTAGAAACGCTTCCCACAACCTCTACCTCAACAGCAAGCCCTCATAAGATGTACAGTATACGCCGCACCTGGTCCAACCAAGACACAGAACGATTATTGCAGCTTGTCAAGAAATATGGTAATAAATGGAAGGTGTTCACAAACTACTTTCCTGGGAGAAGTGCTTTTTGCATTCGCTCCCATTATTTCTCGGTAACGCATGATACTACCCGATGGACATTGGAAGAAAAGAAGATATTGCAGCAACATCTTGGAAAAGAAGCAGATCCTGAAAAGATTGATTGGGAGGAAATACGAAAATGTCTGCCGAAACGACGCACAGTTGCGCGGATCAAGCAATTTTGGCAAAACTCAATACAACCTTCATTGAATAGAGGTAGCTGGACAAAAGAAGAAAGCGAGCAATTAAAGAGTCTTGTAGCGAAACATGGAAAAAATTGGGAATTGATTGCAAAGGAGTTGGGTACTCGAAGTGAAGACCAATGCAGGAACAAATGGGCCTATGAATTTTCCACCATGAAAAAAGGTACGCTACTGACAGGTTTGATTGGTTTGCTACTAACTTGTTTAAAGGCGAATTTAGTAAAGAAGAGGATGAAGCTTTAACAAGAGCCGTAGCAAAATATGGCATCAATGAATTTCAGAAGATTAAGCAAGAGATGGACAGTAAAAGGTCAATTTCACAACTAAGGACTCGCTATAATAATTTTTTGGACCCTGATGTGGACCGAAGTCCATGGACAAAGGAGGAGAAGGCACTTGCAATCAAATTATTCCAGGAACTGAAGAATATTAGAGCAGTTAAAGCCAAGATGAACAGCAAAAGAAGCATTAGAGACATGTATAATCAGTTACGAAATAAATAGACAACTGCATATGAGTTTTCTCGCCTCTTTCCATGATGACCAGCTATGATATCATTTGCAATCTTTTGGAGACAGCACTGATCTTCTTAAAATCTGGGCGCGCCTGATAGTACCATGATGGTAAATGTATATTTAGAATCGCTGAAGTTTAATCAAGAAAATCTCAAATGCTGGCAAAATCTTAATTAGTGTTCAGACATGTCGATCACTTTTGAAACAATGGATATTCGCTTGCTTATGTGCATTATCATAAGCAGCTTTGAAAACTCTACAAGCCATCATTTAATTAAAGGAAAATATATCTGATTTCTGCACATTTCTTCGCTAAAGTTGGATGTAACCGAGAAAAGAATAGCCCAAAAGAACTGACTATGATTCTAGTCTTCTAAAGTAGAATTTTTCCTCATTCGTCTTTATGAAATGCCGTATATTTTCGCTACTGTAAGATATACCAGATATTATACATAGCATTGTGCTCCCAACAACAAGTTTGAAGCACTCAAATCAGTGCTGAACAATTGATTACCTTATAGCTGTATATGACCCAAAAGTCGAGATTGACCTGAAACATGACATAAAAATCAAGTAATGATCTCATTTCAAATGTGTAGATAGTCATCTGTACTACAATAACAATGTAAATGATTTACATGCAATATATTTAACTTTTCAGATATTGCCAAGGATATAGTCATTTCGAGCCTGCTCAATTAAAAAAATATTATCAAGTGAGCCTGATTCCTGTTGCTATGACAAAAAGAAACCTCTTTTATTCCTTTGCCAAGCAGCAAGACAGAATTTCGGCGACCCAAAGTAAGATAATGTTCCAATTGAATGGATGTCTTGATAAACATCCCATTGATTTACCCCAAAATAGATGTTGATTCTCGGGTAATTTGTTGAAGCAAAAGTTTTACACAGAGGAAATGGGTTTAAAAGCGAACATCTCAAATGTTTGTTTGCTCTCTCTTTCCTTTTGTCCTGCTTTTAAACTATAATGAAAAGAGGAATTACCTACATCATCACATTAGTTTCAATAGGCTTATTGTACTTTGGCTCTTTATATGTCGTATCAAGACCATCAACAGCATGCTTGAGCTCACTTGTGAACGAGAGAGCAGACCTCACCAACCGAGAAGCTGTCGACAATGGTGGAGCACAAGTGCCCTTATCCAACGAAGATGTAGTCAAGCAGGATCCCGAAACAATTGATGAGATAGATGATCAATATACCACTGCCGAGCCCGAAGAGTCATTGTTTCAAGAAGAAAGAGAGAAAGCTGCTATTGTGGTCTTAGTGAGAAATAATGAGCTGGCAGCAATGAGAAGAACATTGCGACAATTCGAAGAGTAAGTTGAAGATTAATATACCTTGGTTTGATGCCTAACTGCTTTTTCTTTTAGTCGCTTTAATCGCAAATACAACTATCCCTATGTCTTTTTGAATGATGAGCCATTCACTGATGAATTCAAGTATGCGATATCTGTCATGACAAACGCTGAAATTAAATTCGGGCTTGTACCTTCAAGTATGTGGTCTGTACCCGATCATGTTAATGAAACTGTAATGAATGCTCAACTCGCCGACTATGCTGCCCGTAACATCATGTATGGTGGCTCATTGTCTTATCGTCATATGTGTCGCTTCAATTCTGGCTTCTTCTATCGTCACCCCCTCTTGGCCGAATACGATTATTACTGGTAAGGTATCAAATCCAATATTTCAGTCCACAGTATTCTAAAAATGAATTCTTTTTTCCCAAATTAGGCGTGTGGAACCAGGCGTCAGTTTCTTTTGCGATCTTGATTACGATCCCTTTAAATTCATGAAGGACAACAACAAGGAATATGGATTTACGATCACACTCAAAGAAATTCCAGAGACTATCCCTACGCTTTGGGAACATACCCTCAAATTCGCTCACCAACAAGAACTCAATACTACCCTCTTACGATTTTTTGGTAGCCCTTCTGGCGGTTACAATTTGTGTCACTACTGGTCCAACTTCGAGATTGCAAGTCTGAATTTATGGAGAGATGATCGTTATCAGAAATACTTTGATTATCTTGATAGTACCGGCAACTTTTTCTATGAAAGATGGGGTGATGCTATTGTACACAGTTTAGCAGCAGGCCTCTTTTTGAACAAGAGTCAGGTACATTTCTTCAACGACATTGGTTACAAGCACGATGACTTTTCCCATTGCATCGACGATGGTATCTTTGGTAAATGCATGTGTCCTGAAAATGTGCCAAACTTCGATTACAGCTGGGGCTCTTGTCTTTCGGTAAGCTTACATTCGTAAAACCTGTCATACAGTGTATATTAATTACAACAACTTGGCATTTAGGAATGGAAAAACTATGCTGAAGAAGGACATCGATGGGATTTTAAAAAGAATGGAGATCAATATTTGGAGCAGGGTCAAGTGTTTCAAAACCCTGGAGGCGTTGCCATTGATATAAAACTTGATTAAAAGCAACAAATATCCCTCTTCATAAATCTTCATATAATAATATTTCCTCCTCACCATCAACACTTTATATAGTTCTTAGCCTACCCCTTCATAATACGCACTGATTTCTGTTCTTTTGTATCATATAATGTATCCTTGCTCTTAAGAGTGAGCAAAATAAAGCAAAATTATTTAATAAGTATCCATTGCATGGCTTTCCTCGTTACGTAAGTTCTTGATAAGCCTTGGCATGCATTAAATGACATGAAAGCCAAGATTTCATAGAGCCGAGGAGCATCGAATACGGCTGTAATACAAAGCCCAGATTTGGCAGGAGAGATCTTCATATATGAAAGCACCCTCATGCGCCTATTATGCTCTATACTACTATTAAGATCCAAGAACCTCGGGCTCTTGAATAATTAGGGTATTGCAACCAAATTAATGCTGATGCACTAGCTTCTGATTTTAAGATGGCATAAATTATCTGCACCGAAGTCAAACAAATTTTAGCCATTTCTTAGTTTGCATCTGCGGCTTGACCAAGGTTTGATTTGGTATCTGCCAAATTCTAGAATACCCCATAAGTTGGCCAAAACAAAATCATGTCAGTCAAACGTGAAAACGTTGATCTCCCAATCTTTAAGAAAGCGAAGCATACCTTTTTTTTTGCCCAGATCTCTTTTTTTTTTTTCCTCCTTCTTCATCTCCTCATTTTGCACTATTTTCTACGGTAGTATATTATTATATTGCAATAGAAAAAGCTATAAAAAGTGGTTGAGTTGGTTGGAAAATCAATTGTGCGTTAAACACCATTTCAAGAAGGGAAGTTATCACAACCAAGCAAGACGTTGTTTTAAACAATATGTAACGGCTTTTGTATGCTTCAGGAAATGATCACAAAATCACACAGCAATGATATACAAAATGAACCTGCCATCGACAAGGAAGATCTTACTCTCAATTTACGTGAGCTCATGCAACACCAAGAGAACCACAACAACAACCAGCATGAGCAATTGCTCTAAAAATAAGCAATAGTCTTTGGTTATATTATAACTACTACTTCTCTTTTTTGCATATAGTGATGACGGAAACTGCGATGGTTGTGTTATATATACTCACTACTGAATGCTAGTGATAATAGATCTGGAATAGGGGCTATCGTATATCTGAGGCAACCACAACACTAATGGCTTTAGTTTATGAAACATCATGCTATGATGGATGTCTCGCGTACTGCTAAATTATACTCTAACGATAGAAACACTTGAAAATATGAACCTGCGTAATCCAACCTATCAATTCTTTAAGAACTTTCATATTCTAAAGCATGTTTCAGTGGCTTATTACACATATTAACTGCGAACTGCATGCATTTCCATCCCCAAACACTTTCATGCACTCACTGAAGAGACTCCACAGAAAGAAATTCAGGGTATTAATCTCATTGGTCATTTTACATTCAAATTCCGATTCCAGAATTTTGCGTTCCGGCCGGAATGCAGTTTTATGCCCTCTAAACGATGGTGCAATTTATATTTGCGAAAGTGGCATAGTTGCCGAGAAATTTGAGATTTTCACAACTGGTTAATTTTGAATAGATGCTGCTAGTAAGACTTTTTAAGTTACTATATGAATGTGGAATGTATGTGTAATAAAAGTTGTAGAGGGTACTTTGATCGAGTAGGGCATGTTTGTATGTGGGATTATTGAGGGCGATGTCAATGGGTAATGACGGAAAATGTTCAAAGTGACCGATTTTCAAAGGGTTATACCGCTGGATTTTACTAAGTGAACGAGAGCTTCAAGCTTGATAACTTTTGTTTCTTTTTCAATTCTCCATATGATGGTATGATTATTATAAATAAAAAGTTGAATATCCCCTGTTTGTAGCTCATGAAATATAAGATTTTGAACGAATTCATAAAGGGAAGATACATCCGGTATTTAAAACGCTTATATAATAATGGATATAACGTAGAGCTATCGAATGGTCTTTGTTTTGTGCGAATCCAGTGTGTATTTGTCGAGATATGGTCAAAAAAAGGGTATCATGCAAAATCATCATGGATTTTTCCTCCAAATCTGTCTGTGATAGCAAGCGAAAAATCTGGCGACGATTTTTTGGCCAAGACAATATTGTCAATATTTCATAATAAAGTTATGCCAGAGCTTCAAGCGATAGCTCATTTGATAGGAAATTTTTTGGTCTAGAATGTTTAGTAATGCTTAACAAAATGTTTTGATGACAGATACTGATTAATCCTTAGAAAACAATCAAGAAATCGCAAAAACAGTCGTACCAAATATCAGGTGAACAATGTACACCAGAGACTTAATATGGGTACCATTGTATTTTCCTTTGAATTCTCTACAAGTTTCATATAAGTTTGAAGGGGTGTTTACTATCAAGAAATGCGTAATTTTAAGGTCGATAGATTTCGGAATTCCATGGACCATCATTCAGAACAATAGAAATTGAAGCTCCGTTGACCTTCTGCACGTGTACACCACACAAGGATGAATTTGACCGAACATTTTAAAAATCGGAGCGTACTGATGTATCATTTCTAAACCATATTTCCAAATGCGTAGAAACAAGCAGTTTAGGCTGTGGAATACATCCACTATGATCTGCATTCCGACAGTTCATCCAGTTACCAGATTTAGATATAAACTGTATGTACGCTGGATTAGATGTACGATATCGATTTATACTATGATCATGAGAAGATATGGACTTCAGATACGCTAGTACTATAAGATTCATACTATATAAGATATAGGCTATAGATGGCACCACGGACATGGATGGCACTATAGACTTATACTTGTATTCCGACATTGACTACGGATGTTTACCATATCTGGATAGGCACCAAGATTAATGCAATATGAGCTTGTTGCTTCAGATGTGCACTTTATGATCCACGCTATAAGACACATGCTTATATCCGTGATACTAGCTACAGATACTTTATGTGCTACAGACTTGTACTATATATGAGACATGCTATAGACATGCATACGATATGCTATAGACATGCCATATATCCAGATACATGCTAAAGATGTATGCTTAGCGATATACACTCAGATATGTACTATTAATATAGACTAAGAAGACTGTACCTATCGGATACATGCTACTAGATCGATATTAATTATCCTTATAGAAAGGATAGATCAGGGTGCTTCGGATGAGAGTCTAATTATTCATCCAGACAGAGCTAAATCATGATTAGCTTGCCGGAGTTGTCTTTTAGCATGATTAGACATTAGTTGATCTGAGTTGACTTATTTGTTAATCTAATTAATAGAACTTTTATCCATTGTTATAGTATATAAGAAGGATCATCTACCTGGCCAGTAGAGAGACTTCAGTTTACTTTACACCTGTCAGTTTGATAATAAAATATACCTTTATCAAGTTGACATTACTGTTTTTTTATTCTTTTTTTTTCCGTGAATTTTAGTCTATCAAGCCTCAAATTCCACACAAGCACTGATCACATCAGATCATAAACTTTGACATGAAACAGGATTCAGTTACGATCCATATCATGGCATGTTCAGGATAATAAATTGGATCTATTTTCCTATCACCCAAATCAACCCATCTAACACCTTATCCTTACATCAAATCCCTCAATTCGAATGGTATAAGCAGTGAAATCAGGTTTAATGGATTTCACAAAAAAAAATAAAGCAAAGGTAAAATACAATAGAAATCAACTGTATTTTATTTGTGTGTAAAATGAACTGAAGATCCTGGAATTGAGTAAAAAAAAAGAAGAGTATTTATACATTTGCAACTAGCTTGTAGGATTAGTGATGATAGAGAGCAATAGATTCTGCTATTGCGATATCTGGCAAACGTTTTTGATGTTTGATTTAAAGTGGTAATCAATGCAAGAGCACTGGCCATAAGGGTCGATTTGAGTAACCTTGATGGGCTTGGGTGAGCTATCGTCATAGCATGATGGTTTAATGTAACCTTGATGGTTTAAAGTGTGATGTTTGTTATTGAAGTATGGAACCCTTTATCTGGGATATTGTGCAACTATGGCAGCAGGACATAGTTGTCATATTTGAATATGCTTGTTATTGATTTGATTCTTTTTGGATAAAGATAACATCTCTTATTACGACCATCATGGGTGTGATTGAATACACTGTGATCAGGAGTGATTCATTCACACGATGTGCGATATAAGCGTGTATCTTTACTTTAGTATGTTTAAATGGTTGTTGATGTACATTTGAGCGCTTTTACTAATAGATCCAAATAGCATGAATTTGAATGAGTGCTATTTGGTGACTTTCGGTTTTCAATCAAGTTGCGTTTGGGTGGCTATTTCATTACAGAGAGAACTATGACTTACTTACTTCTTTGGGAGCACAACATACTACGCCTTATTTTTAGGCCAAATTCTATCCAAACTTAGCCATTTTGAAGCACGAATAACTTATGCTACAAAGCGTTGTGGACGCTCGGAACAAGGCCAAACGTCTCTTCTTAATTACGTTTTACTTACTGATACGTTATCTCAAGTTTTTTTGGGTCATTGCAAATTCATGAAAATCGTCTTTTTTACATGAGTATTAGCAAGGGGATCTTCTTGAAAATCAAACGATTGCGTTTTTCACCCCGAAAATGACGACTTTTTCTATGATAAATATCGGATCAAATTGATCGCAAAGATGCAACGCAACACTAGAAGCTGCTTCTATGAGACTTGTATATGCTAGATTCTGACATATTCACAGAGAACCTGTTTTCATATTTTTGCAAATTTCTCACTATTTTCGGTCATAAAGCTGATTGTATTTAGCACTATTTGATGCAGCTTCTTTTATTCTGTAAAGTTATATTAGAAAGTTGGGTGTGACAACGACAGTTTTTATAGTCAAATTTGGCAAAAACGTTCAAAGGATGTCAAATCAAGTCAAGTTTGAACACGAAAACACCCATTACACAATTGAAAATTAAAGTTCAGCAAATACAGCTGCCACGGCAGAAAACTAAGACCAAATCTACTGGTCGTGACGTCGGATAAGGCGCCCTCTCATTTTTCCAAAACCCCCTTTTTTTTTCCTTTTTGCAAAACGCGTATAGTATCAAACCATGGTGGTTTTGGAAGCCGTTTGATTGATAGTAACACTCTAGCTTCTGATAACGCTGTATTGTACTGTTGGAACGACTTGATACTGCTTCTTTGAAGTGGAATATATTAGATACCATTCGATAACGAGCACTGGAAGGCGTAGAATTAATACTAATTGAGTTTGATTATTAGGTTTTAATAATTTTTTGTTCGTTTGAGTGAGTAATGTTGCCATTGCTTCTCTGCTATCTCTCTTGTCTGTTTCATTGGTCATTATGTCTGGCAGTCGCTTCTTTGGTCTCTGTCTCTGGAGGTTGCTTCCTTAGTCTCTGTCTGCTCTCTGGTGTTGCTTGTTCTTCGGTTTTTCTACTGTGCTGGTATTGCTGTTGGTGTTGCTACTGGTCTTGCTGCTGTTTGTTCTTGCTGATGTTCTTGCTGCTGCTGCTAGTCTGGTCTTTTCTGGTCTGTTATCTGTGATGTATGCTCGTTCTCTGGTCTATCTCTGGTAATTGCTTATTCTCTGGTCTATCTGTGGTGGTGATAAGTGGTAAGTAACTTCTTTGGTCTTTGTCTGGTCTCTGCTTGTAACTTTCGTTCTTTGGTTTTTCTATGGTGCTGGTGTTCCTGCTGCTGCTACTAATCTGGTCTTTCCTGGCCTGCTGTATTTGGTGCATGCTCGTTCTGTGGTCTGTCTCCGAGGATTGCCTATACTATTCCGGTGTATTTATGGCTGTGGTAAGTGGTAAGTATCTTATTTCTTCTGGTCGCAATGATATAAAACTTCTTTGAACGCTTATATTTTTGCTTCCTTTCTCGTGATAATGCATTCATGATGTTTGCGTTGTTACGCTTTTTTCTTCTTTTTCTTTTGTTGGTAGTGTTTCCTCTGTAGCTTTACATGAAACAACATTAGTCATTATGTTGTATCGCAAACTTATAATACCACTGTTGCTTTTGCAGCAGTTGTGTGTATTTGAATCATGTTGCTTTACATCAGACTATTACTACCATGCGCGTTGCTCATGTATGCATTGTTCTTTCAACAACAACAAGCTTTTTTAAACATCTTTGATGTTGTATTTGTTATGCTTTTCTTTGAATTGCTTCGTGTGAGCATTCTTCCTTTTTTTTGCCTACATACTACTATACTCCTATAGTATTGTAGCATGTTCTTTTCTTCGTTTTTTTATATATTATTATGTTTCTTTGAAGCATATCTTTTTTACGTTGTGGTGGATGTGCCTATCACTGAAGCTCAACAAGACTTTATCCGACACCAGGAGGTGGATAGGCCGCCTCCACTTGGTCATCGCTACTTACTTTAGTGATGATTGAGGGTCTCAATGCCTGAATTTAAAGCTAGGTGGTGTAAGTAAGGCATGCTCTAGCACCTGAGGGAAGTTTGATGATAGTTACAGCTATATTGCTATATATAGCGGAGCTTAAAATTTTGCCTCACATCAAAACAGGGGGAAACCCTCGCAAAAATTTTTCTAGGTCAGCGGAGTTTTCAAGCAATTTGATTGGCTCAGAGGTTCAGGAGCCGAGGAATTCCAGCTAGTTGATCTCCTACTGAGCTGTCATCTATAATGAGTTTATATTTGTAATAAAAGGGTAGCAAAATAAATACAGTTTAAAGCCTTTATCTTACAGTATGCTAATAAGGTGCAAGCGTTTAACCTAGCACCCATTGCACAACAGTCTAATATGAGGAATTTCTTTTAAATTTATTATGGGGGAGGTTGTACTGGTCTTATAGGGTAGCAGTGTTGTTTAAACTGATGTTACAACAGTATTCTGGCCATCCCATTACCAAGCAATAGTCAGTTAACTGTTAAGCACAAAGAATAAAAGGATTATTATTTGTAGCTTATAAAAAATGTTCAATATTATAAAAGCAAGTAAGGACTTTTGAATGAGATCAGACACAGAAACTAAAAATTTATTTATGAAGACAAGAGTTATTCTACTGTAGGGGGAAAAACTGTCCCGTTCGTTTAAAATTTTGTCTTTCTGCATTAGTTTTTAGTCATTTCTTTGTATACAAAGTCGAAATATATATCGTTTGAATGAGAGAAAGTAGTGCTATCTATACATAATTATAACTTTTTCAAAAACTAAAATCCAATGATTTTATTGGTTAAAAAATAAATATAGAAAAATGTACATTTTATTATAAAATCATTAATAGTGAGTTGAACCACCTTTGCTCTTGATGACAGCCTTGATTCGGGCAGGCATACTATCGATATATTTTTGGCACTCTTTTTCTGTTATTTTGTATTATTCTATGTTAATACGCCGCTCTAGTTCTTCTTTTGTAGAGGGTCTAGTGGAACACTTATTAAGACGAAGCTTTAGGAGATGCCATACATGTTCAATGGGACTAAGATCGGGACTTTGTGTTATGTCAAAATACAATGTAAGATTGAATCTGCCAAAGAATTACACTTTTATTGAGAATGCATCCCAAGGATGCATTTATATACTTTTCATTACGCTAGGGTTTACAGCATGATGATGAACTATAATACAAATAGGTTTACTATCTACCCAACAATTGATTTGTAAATCATGATTAGCATGATTTACCCAAAGGACCTAAGAATAGCCTAAAACCTTTAGTGTGAGATCACCTTGCTATGACTTTTGATATAACAAGGATACTGGATGAAATAAATCTTCAAATACAATAATAATAAAGAAACCTTTTTATCCATTCTACTAAAAGGCTATAACCTTCCTGCACACATCCTACAACAATACCTATATTATCACAATCAGATCTTAGGTTACAAGTAGTAAATATATATTTGCATATGATAAACATGAAAGGGTTGATGGTGAAGTGGTATCATTCTCGCTTTGGGTGCGAGAGGCCCCGGGTTCAAACCCCGGTCGACCCCACCTTTTTTTGCAAATATTGAAATTTTCGTGAGACGTTTTTATGTCTCCTTTCTTTTGTTGAATTCTTCATGTTACTAACGCATTTTGGAAGTAACTTTTGATTTCTATTTGCAAAAATAAGTGCCAATCGAGTTTATTATATAAGATATAGATACTACGTTTAGGGTTTATAAAGTTGGGTATTACTGCCTTTGCTGTTGCTGAGATGATGAATCATGCGGTACTTGCTTTTCTTGTGAGTAATCTTATACAAGCACACACCTGTCAATTGCAACAATTTACTTTTCTTGAGAAAGGCCAACTTTTTAGCAGTGCTCGGGGAATTATCTAGAAACTCTCTGGCAAAGGATTCCAAATCCAAACTCTCTAATCTCAGATGCGATCTGCATTCATCAAAAAACAAATCCTCCTCACTCTGCTGTAATCCACGAGGCTTGTATCCCATAATAATCACGGTATGTCTATTCTTTTCAACCAATTGTCTAAAGGTGCTTATGAGTGCTGGAAAGTCCTTGGTGTTGTAGAGAACGTCAGAGATCAAGATGTAATCAAAAGGGCGATGATCTCCCTGCAAAACATGATTGATATCATAGGAGGAGCCCCACGCTAATCTTTGAATCGAAACATGTTCAGTAATAGGGATGTTGTTCAATTGTTGATTGCTCTTCATCAATGGCAAAGCTTCTTCGAGATCAGTCAACACAATGTGAGGTGGATTTTGTATATTATTGATGCGGGATGTTTGCGCTATTGTCAGTCCAATGGCTCCAATACTGTTATAAATCAATTAAAATGTGATATATCGAAACATTGGTTAGACATACCCTGCGCTCAGATCCATGATGCGACGTCCACACAAGAACTGCTTATCCACTTCTGCTAGGGTATTGAATACATGATTCATCACCAAAGCTGAATCCCACAATTTCCCCGGTGTACCATTGTCCCACAGCTCTTGAAATAGTATGTAATGGCCCTCTCTTGGTAATGGCAGTGCCCTATACATATTGACAGCATTTTTCGGGTTATCATCCCACATGACCAATGGTTGTACATGCAAATCATCTGGCTCTTGACAGCATAATTGAAATGGGCCCAGGCATAAAGAGAGAGGGCTTTTATCCTTGGAATAAAGACGATCCCTTTCCGACTGATGTGGTTCAAACTGAATAAATACCTCTTGATCACAAGTGTCCTTGCCATTGATTTTGAATTGAAGTCTGACTAGATTATTGTTGCCAGTTTGAAAGGAGAAGAAATCGTCAGCGTCGTTGACCATGGGAAGAGAGGCAGATGTATGCTGACACCACGAATCCGTTTCCTCCTCTGCAGCTAAGCGGCATTCGATCGAGTTGGTGAGAGAGAGAGCATAATATTGGCTATGTCTCAATTGCAGTAGCTGACATGATACAGGAAACTCATCCGAGTTGGGTATCTGAGCAGGTAGGCCTAGTTCTGTCACCAACTTCAAATCCACCGAGTTCCAAGCGTTCAGCCTTATTTTTGATTCCCTGAGTTGACTACCTAAAGTAATGCGATGTATTCGACTGTTCCTGTACAATGCCTGCTTGAAGTGTGTATTAGAGTTGGATACTTGTCGTTGGCGAAAACCTTTTTTCCGAATGGAAGGAGATAAATCAATGGTATGAGATGAGGTGATGAGCATCCTATTTGGGATTGATTAAGAGGAGGTATTTATAAAGAAAGAGATAAAGGAGAAAATATGACAATTCAGTTTAACATATGTTTTAATAGCAACAGACACTAACAATAACAACATCAAACGAGCGACATAATTTGAAATGGAATTACCCTTTTCAGTGGTATATTAAGTCACGAATTTGATTTGATGCATGATAAATAACGTAATGTTACTTTCATTTTCATCTACGCGTGCCATCAAAACACTTCATTCTCGTCGTCAAAAGTATCGTCTTGCGCACTGGAGACATAATCCGTTTTTTGAATGTGGATATCATCCTCACTAGTGTCCCAGCCCTTGGTGAGGCCTATCTGTAATTGCAGTTGAGCAAATTGCTTCTCCGAGTTGATGTGCCATGTCTTTTCATTGTCGTAAATGATGGTTGATTGTTGCGCTATGCCAATATCTCTTTCTTTTAGGAATACCTCTGACCTGGCAATGATGATATCTTCTGCTTGATTCAGCTGTTTCACGACAAGACACACTTCCATTGTCACTTGCTTTGATAGCCAGTCTTTAATCTCTTGCAAATCACCTTGAAGAGGGATGTTGGCATGGTATTCTGTGGCTCTCCAATTGTCTTGATCTGACTCAATTAAACATTGGTATTCTTTGTCTGCAAACTGGTAGTAGAAATAGGCGTCTTCAATGTCTGCATACTGATCTAGTATAGAGGATATATGCTTTGCTTGAATGATGCGAAACAAAAATCCAAATCTATCCATTCCTGATCCAACAACTATGCAATCATCGTCATCGTCGCCTAGCTCTTGCTCTAGTTGCTGCTCCTCACCAGAATCTTGGTAATCAAGAACTGACTCTTCTTGCTGTTCCAATTCATCATCATTATAGTCATCATCGTCATGCAACTCGGCTGAATTGATGAATAAGTCGCTCATATCAGAGCAAATCTCCAGTCCAAGCTCTCCCATGTTGGTGCTTTTATTGCTGTGATTCAAGCGCAGTGGCATCTGCAATGGTGTACCAATTTCTTTGTTCCCGCCGAAATTACTATCTGCATTATGGGGCATCTCGACAATGAATAGACCTGCTTTGATCCTTCCTGCTGTTGTTCCTCCTTGAATTGGCATCCAATCACCTTTATCAACAACAAACTGCTGGATTTGTGATATGTTGCGACTTCCTTTTCGCATTAGAACACTCTTTGCATCTTCCATATTCAACGTAACTGTGCCAAGCTTCTCCTGTTCGCAGTTTGTTGACAAGCTCATGATTTCCAGAGTAGCTTGACTATTTCTGAGTCGAGACAATATTTGATTCGATATGTAATATACGAGCGTTGTTCTCCATTGTGGCTCTTTCAGTAGCGCTGTGGGTCTGGTGGAAAGGCGCGTGTTTGGGGGTATCAAATCATCCACTTGAGGTGGGAGTTTTATGTTGAGTCGAGATGTGACATAGACATCTTTGTCGTTCTGCGGTTTGAATTGCTCTCCATCTTCAATAGCGACTAATATGGCGTAATGGCAGTTTTTGGTCAACAAGAGAGACATGAAAAAAAAAGGAGTGATAAGGTAACAAGAAATCCAAATTAGCAGATGTTGCGACAATATTCACTTTTTGATTTGAAAAAGCCACATTTTATTTGCCATTGGTTGGCTTGATACCTTTGACATAAATACATCCAGGATTGGGCATATCGTATAGCCATCCCTCTTTCTTTAATATCTTTAGCGTCGAAGGCAGCAGTTTGGATTCACCATACTGCGAGTGTTTGCCAACACCGGTGATGATCTTTAAAGGCTTGAATTGAAGACGAGCTACATGGCAGTGTCAGTACTCAGGTTGCATAAATTTGATTGTTATGGAAACTTACATGATTGCATCTGGCTTCTTGAATACCACTGATTCAGCCCTTCTCTAACAAGGACTTGAGCTTCAGCTATAGTCAATCCATGTAAGTCCAACAAGTGATCATCGTTTTGTCTCAATCTGTGTCCACGAACAGTTGCTCTCGCCGCTCGCATATTCCAATCTTTAGCTCGACTATCGATTTGTCTTGCATTGTCAGAGTAAAAGAACGCAATACCGCCCTCTCCAGGCCCTTTGTTTTTCGCTTGTCGATACGCTGCCGCTGCTTTCCGAAATAACTCGTTTCTCTCCATGATCAGCTGCATTGCTATATCTCGACATTCCTCTGGATCGTCTTCAACATAGTCTGTCTGGTTGTTCATGAGCAAGTACTCAGGTATCACAGGCATCTCTCTCTGCTTTTGTTTGGCTCGAATCAGCTCAGACTCCTTGGCCATTTTCTGCAACCGAGCCTCCAAGGCCAATTGATTGACATCAAACGACAAAAAGTGTTCTATACCCATTTGCACCATTTGATCCAACGTTTTGTTTTGGTCCTTGCAGCTAATGATGACACCTACAGCTACACGAGCCACGTCCTGCGGTGTGCGATCCACCATGATAGCCTCCAATTCTTCCTTGACATGATTCAAATCCTTGACTGAAGCCCAAGTCAATTCGTGTTCTGGCTTTTCGTTGGGGTGCTTCTCCATAATTGCTTTGACAGAAGCAATAACGTTGCCACGACAATGCTGGACACATGCGGCAATTGTATACTTTGGTACTTTTGAAAAGTAATGTTCTAATTCATTGACAGTAACATCGTATTGGTGCCATACATTGAAGGGCACAGTTGCCATATCGAGGTAAGCATCTTCTTCTTCTCGCGCCATGATCTCTCGCATGTTCTGTGATTGCGCAGCTGGATGTGATGTGTGTCCTTGAGATATACCGACGGTGGGTAGCTGTCCAGAAGACCACACAGTCGAGGTCTTTGGTTTCGCTTTCACCTTCTTTTTCGTGGTGTTTGTATTCTTGGCCTTGTTGTGTGCTTTGGTAGGTTCATTGATATCGCCTTGACGTTCTACTTGCTGGATGAATTCTCGATTCAGCAGCACATCAGTCGCCTTTTCAACATCGTTGTCCTGCGATTTGAGAGCATCCACAAGATCTTGCAAGGGAAATGTTGGAAAGCAGGTGAACAAAAAGTTGATGTTTTCATCTTCACTTTCAGTAGTATTAGTTGTAGTTTCGCTGCCTCCTATATCCAGCTGATCCATGGAAGCCAACACGTCCTGCTGATCAAGAGCTTGGTCTGCTTCTTTCGCTAAGGATGATAAAATCTCAAACGAGCTGTCATAGTTGAATGAATCGTTCCAAATAGCTTGAATTAATGAAGGATCCAAAGGCGGGCAGAAAGTAGCCTAATGGTTGTTAGGCAAGCACATGCGTGGAATTGATATCAGTGCAGCTTTACCTGAAGCTTAGCCTCGTCTTGTTCTCTATCTCGCTTTTGCTTTGCTTTGTGGGTAGGCTTCCTTCTGGGCTGTGGTAGTGCGGAATACTGATTGTCTTGTAGTCTTCCCATATCTTTCACTATATATCATTATTTGGTACTGTGGAGAAAAAGAAGAGGATGCTTGGAATTGTTCATAACAATTACTTTTTTTCATGATGAATGAGACTGAATTTCAAAGCTAAATGTCTCTAGCTGGTCTTCATGACGTATTTTCCACTCTGTCTATTTAGCTGTTATGAGATCAAAGTCCTAGGAAACTGCACACCCGAGAACCAGGCCTCTAGCTCTGATAATGTTCAAATAATCAAATGACAACGAATGATTCGTATTAATGGAGTGTCGTCAACCAGGAGCAGTGGGATTATATGTAAGTGCTGGAATGAATAGAACATTAGCTCCAATTGGAGATCAGAAATTGCGCGTGTGGCACTGAAAGTTTAGCTCATCTTGTATGTAGGTCTTCATTACAAAAAGATCCTTGACACTTGAGCAAATTTCTCGAATATGTGGTTTGATAGAATGGCATGTTGCACCTATCATTGAGTACAAACTGGATTCAGTATGGTAAAGAAGGTACCATTCATAACATCTAAATGTTGTAATTAACAACCCCCTTGACTTGACAAACTGTATGTCGTCCATTGCTGCCAACGCCCATATTGTGTTGAATTCAAGAGCGAAATTAAACAGTGCTATGCTTCTGTGGCATGTTATCCACCTTCTTGGTTGACTCAGATTGAGAAACTGTAAGTCTCACATTTCATAGCAAAACTTTACAGGAAAGCGCTATCAGATCGTTGTCTGATCTTATGTAATACTGAATCTCAAGCCTACCATATGATGAGTTTGTCATGGTTTTGTAATTCGTTGTAGTCGTGATTGACTTGATGTTTCTTCAAAAGCACGATGAATCTTTTAAACCAAAAAAAAAAAAAAATGAAACAATATGATGGAATCAAAGGACAATCCAAAGCGAAGCATTTTTCTAAAACAAAAGAAATAAATGGTGCCTGGTTAATGTTAAGGAATTGGCCATTTTGGTTTTTTTCTTGATCCGTTGCATATAAACACCATGAACATTGAAGGAAGTGCGAGGTTAAATCAAGTGAGGGCGGATTTGACATTCTATCAGCATGGCGCACAGGGCGAAAATGTTTAGGCTATCGCGCGCTCAATCTCATTTGGTAATGTATTATAAATCTGGTGATTCTTTTTTCCAACGTGTTGATTTAGCGATTGGGATTATACACATCTGCTAACTTACGCGAAACATCTAGAGCAAATCTAGAATCGAAACAAAAATAACATTAGCGGCAAGTTGTTGTTGTCGTTGTTGCTGCAGTGTCTGAAATTAACGCGGCTATTGTGGATCAGTAAACGATTCGATATCTTATTCAGGAATAGTTCATCCACATGGTGCATGTCGGTTGCGGTATTCCCTGTGAACCCGCATCCAAATCATTGTATGTTTCTCGGGTCACCTTGTCTTTCAGTGGCTCGTACCCAATAACATGCCTAGAAGCCTGTTTTTTAAGCTTAGCCAATTGCAAGTAATCAGTCATGCTTTGTTCTAGGTCTGTGCACGATTCATTTTATGATTTGCTTGTAAGAAATTTAGCTTCCATTCTGAAATCTCGTCCGCTGCATGCGCACTCTGAGGCTTATCAGTTATTCATTATATCAATCTTTGCCTTCACAGTTTTTGGAAGATTACATTTATACAGATGGCTGGGATGAGTAGTCTGTTTCAAATGGTTATACTTTGAGATCTCTTTTTAACGCAAGTAATCAAATCAAAAGAAGCCTCAAGTTTGTGTAGAATTGTTTTCTTGGTCAACATGATTTGTCATCCTTAATTTGTTGTGATAGATATCGGCGCTGACCTCAAGTCTCATGAATACCGTCTATATATACCAATGATTTAAAACATGACCAGCTGTACCGCGCGTACAATACGGGGTCAAATTATGATCTCAGTAGAGTTTTAGGTTGCATGTGAGCAGAGAACAGATAGGTTTCTTGAAGAAAGAGCATAGATCTTTCAAATGTAAAGACATTGCAGGTCTAAACGTATTTACTGTACGCCACAAGAGAAACACTGCTAAAATTAGCGTCTTAGATTTCCATACATTCATTGACCTCGACCATTTGAGGCCCGTAAATGCAGAGAAGATTTCAATTCAATAGGAGAACGGAAGCGCAAACGTTATTTTAATGTTGATGTACAGTAACAACAACAACACCCAGGGCTGATGGTTTGTTGCAATGCTGTAATGTGTACATTATATCACACCCATCATGATAGAAATTTCTGATATATGGAAAACAGAATCATTCCAGATCACGCCTTCTTGTCAAACTGTGCAACATGTTACACTGTATAGCAGAGATTTCGTCGATAATGCCAGATACTTATACTTGTATCTATGTTGCAATTGAACAAAACCAAGTGCATGCCTCATTAAGTTGACGTAAATGGCGTTTCTTACGGCGTAGAATAAGGCAATTGACAATTGATAACATAACGCAGCAGTGGATTGATTTCACAAATACTGCCTCTTGAAACTGATATATAAATACTATAGCGGTGATTGCGATGTTTCATTCCAATTATCAAAATCGCTGAAGCCTTCTATTTTCATTTCCGTTCGCTCAAGAAATGAGCTGAATTGCAAGTCGAGGCTACTGATATGTAGGCCTGAAAGCTTCATTGATGAAGAGGAATTGGCCCAGTCGTAAGTGTGTGATAATATCGAGAAACCCATGAAGACATCTTTGTGATTCCAATCATTTTGATAGGTCAATAGATGGGATTGCATGAAGAGCAGCTTTGCATGATAGCAGCTTTGATGAAATAACTTGAATCTTCTTTTAGACCCAACTGTAATACATTGCAACAGATCACGCCTGCTTCCTTGACCCATTTTTTTCCAAACACACAGCTCGTAATTCTGTTTCTTTTTTTGATAGATCAAAGAGTCTTACAAAAAAAAAAAAAAAAAAAAAAAATGAAACATGTTGATTCAAAGACCTTCCATGCAGTAATTTGAATTTAAGAAGCATAATCGTGGTTGCCCTGGTATAGTTGAGCTTCCATTTTTTTTTTTTTTTTTTTTTTTTTTTTGTGATATGAAACTTGATGGTGTCTCCGAATTGAATCATTCACTTGTATCATTTGTTTACACGATCTTTTAAAACTACTTACAGAATTGTATACACGAAATCAACATGGCCAAGCAGTGACTAAATGACGAGCATTGTATCATTCATCAATCATGTTACGCATTTCAATTAGGATACGAGAGGTGTGGTGGTATTTCAACAGATGAACGCGGAAGTTTTCTGTGCTGTTTGATTCTCCAATTCAAAACAATCCAAAACCTTTTTTTTTTTTTTTTTTTTTTTTTTTTTTTGCAGGATGTAATATATAACAGATGAACTTCTCGATTTACAACTTTCTCTCTTTTGTTGAATATAAATCTATAGAATATATTTCACTTAAACAAAGTACATTAGCATGAGACCTATTAACGATATCTTTGGATGCAACAAGGGTTCTCCCCCAAATCTCCACGCTGATCTCAAGGCTTCACTCGGTGAGTTCTTTGGTATGGCCATCTTCATCTTCTTGGCCTTGTCAGGCGTACAAGGTGCTCTTGAAGCGCCCACATTCCAAAGTGTAGGTACTGCCACTGGTCCTACCGCTACGTAAGTAATTCAATGTGTGTATTGCCGCAAATGCCAAATGTCTAATGCACATATCAATCTAGTCAAATTCAAAGCATTGCCTTCAGTTTTGGTGTTGCTATTACTGTAGCTCTCTTTATTTGTGGTGCCGTCTCTGGTGGTATCTTGAACCCTGCTGTCTTGTTGAGCCTTATGATTACTGGTAACATCAATTGGCTTCGTGGTATCTTTTTCTTTATCGCTGAAATTGTTGGCGCTATCCTTGGTGCTTACTTTGCCAACTTTGTTACTGCCCATGAGTTGCAAGGTGTTAACTTGTTAAACCCTGGCTTCAATTATGCTCAAGGCTTCTTTACCGAGTGCTTGCTGACTTGTGTGTTGTGTTTGACAGTTTTGTTCATCATTGTTGACAAGCATCTTTTGGCTGATTTCGCTCCCTTTGTTGTTGGTTCAGCCGTCTTCATTTGCCACATGATCGGTGCTCCTGTGGATGGTACTTCCATTAACCCTGCTCGTTCCTTTGCTGCGTCTATTGTCACTGGTAAGTGGGCCAACCAATGGATCTTCTGGTTTGGCCCTTTAATCGGTGGTATCTTTGCTGTTATGATCTACTTGCTCGTCAAGGTCCTTACTGAAGACTCTCAAGAGCAAGCTTTGCTTCAAAATGCTCGCAATCAAGCCATGGTCGATGCTGACAATCACAAGGATCAAAATGAACCACATCCTGCTCAATACACCTCTGCCAATGTGTAAGCACTGGAAAACATAATTTAATTTCTTTTACATTTATAGCCTCTAAACTTTTTTTTTTAATTCCAACACTATTGATCTTCATTTTTCGACTTCTTTCATTCAAAAATAAACAAATCGCTTACTGTACATACCAGCAAAGAAAACAGAATTACCTAATCAAAATCCGCATTTTAGAATCTTAATTACACTGAGACATATCATGGCTTCATCGTCTTTCTGTAAGCTTGTTTGAAACTTGATGATGTCAAGTGAGTTTCGAGCACAACACATCACTTTGAAGGCCAACCATATTTTATTGTTTTCACCCACTTTCCACATATCAAAAGGACAATACGCTCGATGTGATAAAAACTTACATCTATTGAATCAAATATCTCATTTTTATTGGGATTACGCTGTCATGATATGTATAGTTTTGATGGTGTCTTGCTCAGTATTGAATAACAATGACGAGGCATACCATTCTCTTGTATAAATAGCTATCCATATACGGAATCAGCGGATCATGATAAAAAAAATTATACACCTAAATTCAGGATTTTTGTTGAGCAATAAGAGAATATCCTAGTTTGATAGTAGTAGTATAGAAAGGGTTTCTTTGATTAATCTTTTTCTTTCTATGCTGAAAACATTGTTTTGATGTTCTTTCAAAAACCCCATACATTCATTAATAGACTTTTAAATAGAACATGTTCTGCCAACTTCTCATTATGATGTAAAGCCAAGGCCATAACATTCCAATTAAGCATCAGAGTGATGCATTATCAGGCCTCCAGACAAAAAATTGCTTTGCCAATGCATCGGCTGTACACTGGAATCTAATTGAGGTCGATTTAGAAAGCTTTGTAAGATATCTAGGCAGCAAAACAGACAGTTCGTATTATTTTCAAATTCTTGGAGAGAAAAGCGCTGCGTGTGTCATGTTGGAAAGCTTTCCGAGCTTGTTAAATGACTCGCTGTGTGATTGTTGAAACATTTCACTGGTTTACAATCTGTAGCAAATATATTTAGCATGCATTAATGATTGAATTGTCAATTTTGGCACTGTGAGGAGTGCTCAATGGCAAACAAGAGACATGCGAGATGACTGCAAAGGTATTGTTTCTCTGATGCGGCAACAGGCCAGCACGTATGAGTTGTGATTCTGTCAACATTGATTGATGTTCGTACCGCATACAAGATAACTTAACAAGATGGCCCAAAGCGCGTTCATTCTACTGCGATTTGGTGGAGCAGAGATACCTTACTTATAACATAACGTTGCGTATAAGGATCTCAAAGTCTAGAGCTTTAGGGATGCCAACTTGAATCTGTAACGATGATTCAGGCTCATAGGTACTTCAAGGGCTTACATCCGTCAGGGTGTTGCTTATTTGATCATTGGTTATATTTACAAATGCAAATCCTTGCTTAAACAAAACCAAAATTAATAACACGCATGCCGTAATGCGAGAGTTTGCAAATGTTGAGAGCTTATTATTTTGCTAATTTTGAAGATTATAGCGGATCTGGTACAGGATGCGATAATCGGACCAGAACAGCACCGCTTAAATGACTAATGCCTGATTAAGAACTTTTTTCTACAAAAATAGCCTCAAATATGTATAGCCATAAGTATATACACTGAAAAATTAGCGATAGGGGATAACAGATCGTGGAGAATCAAAGGTGTGAAGGCTGCTGCATGATGAATTTGGCAGAACACACACTAAACTGGAATAAGACTCACATACACAAGCAGAGATCTCAGTGGAAGTTAAAGTCAATGCAGCCATTACTGAACAACCGACATAGTTGTTAAATAGGACCCTTTATTTCATCCATTAGGGGAAAAAAAATTTACAAGCTGCAAAAGGTCTCACGTAAATCGAAAAGTTGCAAAAAAGAGGGGTCGACCGGGGTTTGAACCCGGGGCCTCTCGCACCCAAAGCGAGAATGATACCACTTCACCATCAACCCTTTCATGGTAATTTTGATTTTAGAAAATATATATTCTAATAACAAAAGTAAATCATGTGACTTAATATATAACATAAACAACAGCGAAATATAACTTGTGATAATAAAGCACACGAAACCACAGCTATTGCGATGACGCTCTTCAGAACACAGTGATTGTATTTAGAGTAAATTATACTATAGAGAGATCTGGTTAGAACAAATTTAGGCAGCCAGTAGTCTTGAAAGAACAATAATACGGAGGTTTCAGTATCATTTTCGGCCTCATTATCAACAGACAGGAGTCTTATTAATAGCTCTTAGATGATGCCTTTGCAGTGAAATCAGGTTTGAATAGATTTCACAAAAAAAATAAAGCAAAGGTGAAATACAATAGAAATCAACTGTATTTTATTTGTGTGTAAAATGAACTGAAGATCCTGGAATTGAGTAAAAAAAAGAAGAGTATTTATACATTTGCAACTAGCTTGTAGGATTAGTGATGATAGAGAGCAATAGATTCTGCTATTGCGATATCTGGCAAATGTTGTTGATGTTTAATTTAAAGTGGTAATCAATGCAAGAGCACTGGCCATAAGGGTTGATTTGAGTAACCTTGATGGGCTTGGGTGAGCTATCGTCATAGCATGGTTTAATGTAACCTTGATGGTTAAAAATGTGATGTTTGTTATTGAAGTATGGACTCCTTTATCTGGAATATTGTGCAACTATGGCAGCAGGGCATAGTTGTCATATTTGAATATGCTTGTTATTGATTTGATTCTTTTTGGATAAAGATAACATCTCTTATTACGACCATCATGGGTGTGATTGAATACACTGTGATCAGGAGTGATTCATTCACACGATGTGCGATATAAGCGTGTATCTTTACTTTAGTATGTTTAAATGGTTGTTGATGTACATTTGAGCGCTTTTACTAATAGATCCAAATAGCATGAATTTGAATGAGTGCTATTTGGTGACTTTCGGTTTTCAATCAAGTTGCGTTTGGGTGGCTATTTCATTACAGAGAGAACTATGACTTACTTACTTCTTTGGGAGCACAACATACTACGCCTTATTTTTAGGCCAAATTCTATCCAAACTTAGCCATTTTGAAGCACGAATAACTTATGCTACAAAGCGTTGTGGACGCTCGGAACAAGGCCAAACGTCTCTTCTTAATTACGTTTTACTTACTGATACGTTATCTCAAGTTTTTTTGGGTCATTGCAAATTCATGAAAATCGTCTTTTTTACATGAGTATTAGCAAGGGGATCTTCTTGAAAATCAAACGATTGCGTTTTTCACCCCGAAAATGACGACTTTTTCTATGATAAATATCGGATCAAATTGATCGCAAAGATGCAACGCAACACTAGAAGCTGCTTCTATGAGACTTGTATATGCTAGATTCTGACATATTCACAGAGAACCTGTTTTCATATTTTTGCAAATTTCTCACTATTTTCGGTCATAAAGCTGATTGTATTTAGCACTATTTGATGCAGCTTCTTTTATTCTGTAAAGTTATATTAGAAAGTTGGGTGTGACAACGACAGTTTTTATAGTCAAATTTGGCAAAAACGTTCAAAGGATGTCAAATCAAGTCAAGTTTGAACACGAAAACACCCATTACACAATTGAAAATTAAAGTTCAGCAAATACAGCTGCCACGGCAGAAAACTAAGACCAAATCTACTGGTCGTGACGTCGGATAAGGCGCCCTCTCATTTTTCCAAAACCCCCCTTTTTTTTTCCTTTTTGCAAAACGCGTATAGTATCAAACCATGGTGGTTTTGGAAGCCGTTTGATTGATAGTAACACTCTAGCTTCTGATAACGCTGTATTGTACTGTTGGAACGACTTGATACTGCTTCTTTGAAGTGGAATATATTAGATACCATTCGATAACGAGCACTGGAAGGCGTAGAATTAATACTAATTGAGTTTGATTATTAGGTTTTAATAATTTTTTGCTCGTTTGAGTGAGTAATGTTGCCATTGCTTCTCTGCTATCTCTCTTGTCTGTTTCATTGGTCATTATGTCTGGCAGTCGCTTCTTTGGTCTCTGTCTCTGGAGGTTGCTTCCTTAGTCTCTGTCCGGTCTCTGGTGTTGCTTGTTCTTCGGTTTTTCTACTGTGCTGGTATTGCTGTTGGTGTTGCTACTGGTCTTGCTGATGGTATTGCTGCTGTTCTTGCTGATGTTCTTGCTGATGTTCTTGCTGATGTTCTTGCTGCTGCTGCTAGTCTGGTCTTTTCTGGTCTGTTATCTGTGATGTATGCTCGTTCTCTGGTCTATCTCTGGCGATTGCTTATTCTCTGGTCTATCTGTGGTGGTGATAAGTAGTAAGTAACTTCTTTGGTCTTTGTCTGGTCTCTGCTTGTAACTTTCGTTCTTTGGTTTTTCTATGGTGCTGGTGTTCCTGCTGCTGCTACTAATCTGGTCTTTCCTGGCCTGCTGTATTTGGTGCATGCTCGTTCTGTGGTCTGTCTCCGAGGATTGCCTATACTATTCCGGTGTATTTATGGCTGTGGTAAGTGGTAAGTATCTTATTTCTTCTGGTCGCAATGATATAAAACTTCTTTGAACGCTTATATTTTTGCTTCCTTTCTCGTGATAATGCATTCATGATGTTTGCGTTGTTACGCTTTTTTCTTCTTCTTTTTCTTTTGTTGGTAGTGTTTCCTCTGTAGCTTTACATGAAACAACATTAGTCATTATGTTGTATCGCAAACTTATAATACCACTGTTGCTTTTGCAGCAGTTGTGTGTGTTGAGGATATAGATCATCTCTGAGAGGCAAATGTATTAAGCGTCGTTTATTACATAAGAGGATTTGAGAATGAGCTGAGATGCATAGTAGAAGCGAGAGGTCTTTATTCAAGCAGCACGAAGGAACATGAGTGGTGCCATCAAATGGCTAATCTATATCCTGGTTCCTAGAGAGTGGTAGCCTATGGTCTTTCGTCCCTGGAAGTGGGTTTCAATTCCGACAAATGTTCTTCCGTCAAAGCTATTAGGAAGAACATTCTATCCTGGATCATCTTTGTTGTT